TTTGTTTAGTAAACAATTTTTGTTTTTAAATTGCACTTGTTTTCTACCAATTCTTGAGAATGAAATACTTATTCGAACCTTGTTGGAACAAAATTACATATGCACTGTGTACTTATATCTCTCAATATTGTAGATATAGGCCTACAAAGGAAAGTTTGGTTCCTTAAGAAGTATCAAAAATAAAAATAAATACCCCCCAAATAGATAAATTAAAAAGCATACCTATTAATTTTAAGATAATTATTTTAGATGAACCAAAATTTTCTTTGTATAGTTACTATTTTGAGAGACCCAAATATGCTGTGTATAATGCCATTTTGTTCCAACAAGGTTTGGATAGATGTATCATATCATTCCAAACATATGGTACCAAGAACAAAAGACAATTTCTGATGTACTAAATGTGTAAAGAGTAGATAAATGTTTTCAAATCAACTTGTTACCATTCAAAAGATGACCATTACATTGATGATGCACAAATATTTTGATGACTGGTCTAAGAGAAAAATGTTTTCAAATTGAGTTCACCATATCACTACCAATCCTTTGCCATAAAGGAAAGTCCTCAGACATTTGCAGTGTTTTAACCAAAGAAATAGTTCTGATCTATTTCAACCGATGGAGCATTATACATGCTGTGTGACATGAAAGAACCTATAATTGCAATTACCTGTACCATTTGAAGTTGACTGCCTCATGATGTAAATGCTTCATTCAATTTGTTTTTCCCACTGTAATCTGCTAAATGAATTTCTATTGACTGAGTTCCGTGAAATTAAAAACAGTATTCTCGGAGATCTTCAAAATAATCTTCACCAATATTGACAAAATAGGAAAATGCATACAAGTTTCTGTGTGGACAAACATTATTATTTAGTTGAAAATGTGACATTGACCTCTTTAAGAACACTTGGATCAGAACAACATGAAACTCCAGGTCTTAGATGAAGATTTACCACATTATTTTACCCTCCTCCTCCTAAATCTTTAAAATATGATTGAGTGGTAGCCTCTTGAAAATGATGGCAATAACAACATACATGTAAGGTATTAAAAGGCAAAATAGCTGAGGTATATGGTGATGACATCCTTTCATTTAAGAATTTAAGATTGAAGATATTCCGGGAGATATTCAATATCAAGTCAAAACTAGATAACGGCAACTCCACGGAGTAGCAAATCCCAACGAACAAAATATCAATTACCAAATTCCAATCAATTATACTCATTACTTTGGTTGAAATTGAAAAATTTAGATTTTAGAATTGCGAATTCCTGCAAAGCAGCCATTTTGAATTTTATGAGGTACAAATCTGAAAAATAATACCATAATTGTGATCTACTCCAAAATTCCTTCAATTTGAGTATAATATAGCCATACTTTGAAGGGATTGAAAAATTATTGCGAAATCATACATTAGACGGCCATTTTGAATTTTACGAGGCTCAAATCAGAAAAGAGATACAATATTTGCAATCTACTCTTAATTGCCTTTCATTTGAGTATAATAAAGCTATACTTCAGAAAGATCTAAAAATTAGCGAAAATTTCTGTTTTCCTGACCCCCCATACACGGCCCCTGGGGGTCAGGATGAAAAACACAGCATATATGTGAAATAGATAGATGTTGCGAATATACTACCAAAATTTCAAACAATAATATTAATTACTTTGGTTTAGAATGAAAAATTTATGATTTTTGCGAAAAAGTCCCGTCATTTTTAAAGCGGTGGCCATTTTGTAAAAATATTTTTTTGCGTAAAACTATACATCAATATACATCTTTCCACCAAATATGAAGAAAATCCGTCAACTAATATTTGAGTTATCTTCCGGACGGACGGACGGACTGACTGACGGACGGATGGAGGGCTTCACTATATCCCTACCGAACTTCGTTCGTTGGGATAATGACAGTTTATATTCACATTTTTTAATGCAGCACCAATCGTCCATGATAACATCTGGGATAGACACTACAACAAATTATAAAAAGCTATGCATTTTTGTTTTACTCTGTTATCATTTGTTGATGTATTTCAACAATAATGACATAAGGAGAAATTTCTGTGGAAAAAAGGAAAATTTTGTCGATATCTACCATGCATAATCAACCAATATGCACAATGCAACCAATCAAGTTCTTTGGATTTTCAATGACTTCATCTTTGCCATCTTGCAGTAGAAGCTAGACTAAAAAATACTGCAGTGATCTGAATCTGTAGTTCCAAAAATATGTTGAGGTCATGAATGGTCAATGGAATGCAAATAGATAAGATAAAGGTGAATTTTTAGTAGTCTGATAAATAGACATGTCAGCTACAGTGTTCTATTTAGTCCATAATCAGTTTATCAGGACTTGAAATAGCTTATTTATACAAATCATGGGTCAGAAATGGAAATGTCAGTTAAGGCATAAAGTTGTCAATATCTATAGGGTGTCTCAAAAAAATGTACCCAAAAGTATATCAACACCATAGACAAACCAACAATATTTTCAGACATTTTTTTGCATGGTCTTGAAGATAAAAGATGAACGTTTTTTCCCCTATACACAGTTTTTAATTCAGTTTTGCCTTTTTGATACTTTAACCCGTTACCTTTTGCACCACCTATTCAATGTAACCTCATATTTCGATTACAGTCTGCATCCTTACTTCTACATTGTTCATCACGTTTGATATTTCTGGTGGAATGTTTTGATTTCTGTTCGGATGCTGGTCTTAAGTTGTTCTAGGTCTCTTAGCTTGGGTTTAGCATAAAAATGGTCCTTCAAATAGCCTCAGAGAAAAAAGTATGGGCCGTCAAATACAGTATGGTGAATAGGGAGGCCCTCACAATGTCTTATAGCCCCCTTATACAGAGAGGTCAGAGGTTCAAAAAACTGCATTGGTTGGGATTCTAGTGTAGCTTTTGTTGTGTGTATCAATTTGGGACCACTGTGTTTTCATTTGGATATCATTTAGTCTCGAGGCTAGCCTGCATAACTCTGGAAGGTAACTCCTGGATCATTTGCCGATAATTGACCTGATTATCTTTGTTTGTTCTGCCATCGTCATCCTCAAACATCTTTCTCTGTGGCTATTTGAAAGTATGTTTTAATGCTCATTCCAAGCAAAAAGACCTAGAACGACTTAAGGGCAACATCCAAAGAGAAATCCAAAACATTCCACCGGTTATCAAATGTGATGAACAATGTAGCAGTAAGGATATAGGCTGTCATCGAAATATGAGATAACATCGATTATGTGGACTGGTGTAAAAGGTAAAGGGTTAAAGCAGCAAAAAGACAAGACTGAAATAAAAATGGTGTATTGGGGAGAAAACTTTCATGTTTTGGCTACATGACCATGCAAAAAATATCTGAAAATATTGATTGGTTTATCTGTGCTCTTGATATACTTTTGGGTATATTTTTTGAGACACCCTGTATATAGCTACTGAGCTAAGAGACCAATCCAATAATGGTTTTAGAATTATATTTTACTAATCAAAACATGAATCCATCAATTATATTGCAACAAAATTGACAACTCATGATTGCGTGATTGTATTTTCCATTTATTTGTGTGTTAATCAGCTCGATGAAGAAAAACACAAAATCAATTGACTTTACAAAATCCATGTAGCGATCATGATGGTAAATCTAATTGACTGGCAATGAGATGAAAATAAGTCTTGGTCATGATGACACAAATTTTTAATTTAACTAATAACTAAAAACAAATTCCATGGTGTAGAAAATGCCAATGTACATATCATTATGGACTATCTCCATGGAGCATGATATCTGAAGGACCTTATCATAATGGTAATTTGCAGTTTGAGATGCATTGGAATTGTATTGCCGTAAATGGAAAAGCTTGTCATCAGCTAGGGATGAATTCACGCAATAACCGTCATTTGGTTGACCATATTGAATTTTCAAGATGTAAAATCTGAAGAAATTAGATATTTGTAATCTTTTATCCAATACCTTTGATTTGTGTTGTGTATAAGTATATCGCCATAAATTTTGATTTCTCAAAATGAAAGCATATTCTTCTGGAGGGAGCAATTTTAGATGTTCTAAGGCACATTATCTAAGAAATGATACAACATTACTCCAAATTACCCTGAGCTTGAATATAATAAAGATATATTTATAGAGATGTCAAAATGAGTGCAAATCAAGACAGAGTTGAGGTCTTTAGGTGAGGCAGTTATTAAAAAGAAAAATATGCTATACACAAGATTTCAGTTTTAGACATTTTATTTCAAAATAAACAATCTTCCATATTATATCGATTGTACCCACAGATATTTCAACATAACACATATTTCAATGAATGTTCACATAAAACCAACTACCTCCCATATAATGAGATTTTGTCTTCTCCATAAGAATTCTGTTAATAGTCAGTTATAATCTAGACTAGTTAAGAGAAAATGACAGCATTTTGATTACAGATTCAATGTGACCAGAATGTTAATTTGGCGCCCATTTCTGCTTGGCATTTTCGTCATCATTTGCTAACATAAATCAATATCAAATGTTCTTTAAATTACAAAGGGAAACATTATTTTCAAGCAGATAACTCAAATTCATATTTCTCACACTACAAAGGCTACAATGCAGCCCTAATGAGGTGGTATGTCAAAGGAACCTGTTAGAGGAAAGTTATCAATATATTACATCGAGAGAGGACTATTACAATGATAATTTCAAAGACCACTCTCAGACTCTCGAGAACTAAAACATTTCTACAGAGACATAAAATCAATTATTACAGATTTTTCATTTATATTCAGGGGTTGGAAATGCGTAGAGTATATTTGTTCAAAAATAGGTAGGTGTAGTTTTATTTAGCTGTCTACGAATGTTTACTAGTATTTCCTCAAATGCCAATATACTCACCATGTTTCCAGTACATTAGGGAACCATTCAATTGTTATAAATTGACATTCCTCTATCGAGTTTTTCTTGAATGTGGAGTTGACTAAAGAAATATCTAGTTTATGGTGTCAATTTGTGACAATTGAATGTTTTGCGATGTACTGGGAATGGAATGAACATTTTGGCAGGTGAGTTAGACTAAAAAATGTTCACGAGACGTCAAAATAAAACTATACCTTAATGAAAATACTCAACACATTTCTACCCCCCCCCCCTGATATAGATTAGATATAGAGTAAACCTTACAAGTATATTAGAGATCTAAGCTTGCACTTTTGCAAATGAAATTGATAAGAGAATGTATAAACATATAGCATGCACAAACAATTACATACAGCTGTACCCCTTAAATACTGTACAATACCAATACATTTTGCATGTACAAGACATATTCAGACAGAGGGATTTGGACTACAATACAATATATCTCGAAAGCCAAATTAAATCTGTAGCTAATCATGAAACCCTGGAGCTGAACAGATATTGAAGTAGAATGGGCATTTGAACACATTCCCATATTGACTTTATATGGAATGCATAAATCTTTCCATTCACATTCATGTAAAAAGGTAGTACCAACCAAATCTCCCTATTATTATTACAAACTAAAATATATGAAAAAATGAAACAATTTTGAACATGAAAACAAGCTAATACTGTGGTTCATGAAATTACATGTACAAATACATGTGTACAACTGTACATGTACATTTATTAATATTAATTCTTAAAACATTTGAAGGTTCAGATGTTAATATATTAGGAGCACTAGTTAATTAGATGTTCCCTTTTACCCCAAATAAAACATTTTTCTGTAACAACCAGATCCACACCTTTTACTCTTCTGTCTGGTCAAACATGAAAACAATATTTTACAATCACAAGTTCCAGGATTCAAAACTAAAAATATAATCCATGAACTCATATAACAACCTACTACCAGATGTACCATGTTTTGTGGTACTTCATATATTGCCAATGTAAAGTTGACAAACAAGTATAAGTGTTAATGGCTTGACATCACATATTTCACTTCATTTTTCACACCACACAGTACATACTTCCACATTGTGGCATTTTCACTTTTCACATCAATACCACACACAACACTCTGTCCATATTTCTCTCTTTAGAATCAGCCTTCTTCCACTTGAGGTATACCATTGGCAAATATTTGTATTTTATCTTATCCCTCCTCTCATTAATGAACTACTGGTTCCTTTTGTACTACTTTTCTGTTCCTTTTTCTTTTGAGGATCAACCCCAAAACATTTCCAAAGTCTCAAGGTCTCGTCAGCAGCCCCTGATACCACTGTGGTGCCATCTGGTGACATAGCCATATGAAGTATCCTTGCTGTGTGACCTGGAAAATACATATTTTCAATCAGTTATTCAGAGACAATTTCTCCAAATCTGGACTGATTTTTAGTCAATTCTTCCACATGTATCTCTTTAATAGGCCATCAGTTAGAAGATCAATCATGAGTTAGAAATTATGCTTTATTTTTTTGCTATAAAAAGTACCATGGCATTTCTGGTACTTGTTCACTAAAGATTTTTAAGAAAGTTTCGATCAGAATTATACAAGATTCAATATATTTTGGGGAAACCTGATAATTTTCAATCTAAATTTTGTTTCTTGGATAAATCAGAATTTCTCTTCAAGTTGAGATTTGATATCCGAAGAGTATGTGTATCTGACTTCTAACCTGTAAGTTCTGCTACTTTTGTCATTGTGGGGTACTTCCATATACATAGCTGGTTCTGTGCAAATCCATGCCCAGAGATCAACTCTTTGTACTCTTTACTCCAGAGTATTGAGCACACCTAAGTAGACAGAAAATATGACTACAGTTAATAACACTCCAACATAATTTGTGATAAAACTAGAAAATCACGGGTGTAAAAATAAATTGAATGAAACTAGGCATGTAAGAAATCTGTATCCAGAAAACGTTAAGATTAAGTTATTTGAAAAGAAAAAGTTGTTATACAAATATGTTCCATGATATTTTGTGCAAATTTCACTTTGCAAAACATATGTGACAATTTGCTGGGTATTCACAGTATTATCTTACTTGTGACTTTGTGTCTATTGCATTGAGGCTGCTCCCAGAGTTGATGTTCCAGAAACGTATGTGTCGATCAGCTGTTCCCCCTCCACTGGCTAGAAGACTAGGTTGCCATGGACACCATGCGAGAGCCTGAGCAAACAACAATTTCAGAAGAATTAACAATATTGTGTGACACCCTGCTAGAGCCTCTAGAAACAAACAGTTTCAATAATATTCCATGTTTTTCAGATTCCCAGTATTTTTCGAAATGACTAGAACACTTGGTTGCAGTGGAGACCATGTTAGAATTTCAGAAACAAACAGTATTCTCGAAATAAAATACAATAATCAACAACATTAGTTGTACACTGAGCTGTGTTTTGAATCAATGCCATGTTACAACTAGAAAAACGTTGGAAACTCCATCCTGCTAAATAAAATAAAAAATATAAAACTTGAGACCCACCTTGACAGCTGCCTGGTGTTGGGAGAATGTGTATAGAGGAGTATTATTGCTGTTGTCTTGTGATCCAATGATGGCTGGCCAGATGTTCAACATGTTATCATTGCCGCCACTAGCCAAGTACTTGCCATCTGGGGACCAACTCAATCCACACACCTCCTGAGTATGGCCGCTCAGGGTAGCTATGTGGTGCTGGGGTACCCTCACATCATGATGGTGGATATTACCACTTCGGGAACCACTAAATTAAATAAAAAAAACACGAGTGAAAATGTTTGTTGTGATGGGTGATCTAAAAATATTGTCTACACAGGATCCTCATGAGATATTTATAAAAACTCAAAATATTACAGAATTATCTACATTTTGGTGAAATCTCACAATTTGTGTCCAAATCTACACAATTCTTGCTATTATTAAAATTTCCAGCAAAGTTTGTTTTTGTTATTTGAATAAGATGTTATTTGTTATTCATCAACAAATTCACTGAGAAACATGACATTATTTGAATTACGTTATTTAAATGGTAAAAGAAGAGTACCTGCTGAGTACATATGAGTTCCATGATAGGGAGCCTACTCTGGCAACATGGCCTGTCATACTGCGAATTCTTTTCTGGTTCTCTACATCCCACAACTGCAAGCAGAGAATCACAGTTACAGATGAGTTCAACATGGGTGGGCTCAAATTGAAAACAAAAAATGTCACCACCTAGTTGCTCACAATATTGTTAGTTCAATCTTAAGTCAGATTTGAATTTTTGAGAACTTGTAGATGATTTTGAAAACAAAAATTGGTCAATTTGAAGCAAGTTGAAAAAATACCTTTTTGACCGTGAGAAGGTCATTGACGTGAAATCTCAAAGTCAGATTTGAACTTCTGAGAAGTTGTTGTAGATGATTTTGAAAAAGTTTCTTGGTCAATTTGAAGCAAGTTGAAAAATACCTTTTTGACCTTGAAAAGGTCAAATATTTTTATGACCTTGAGAATGTCATTAAAGGTCAAATCTATAGTCAGATTTGAAGTTTTGAGAACTTCTAGATGATTTTGAAAAAAAATTGGTCAATTGAAGCAAGTTGAAAAAAGACCTTTTCGACCTTGAGAATGTCAATGAAGGTCAAATCTCAAAACTAAAGTCAGATTTGAACTTCTGATAACTTGTTGATGATTTGAAAAAAAATTTGGTCAATTTGAAGCAAGTTAAAAAAAGGACCTCTTTAATATAAAGTCAGATTTGAACTTTGAAAAAGAATTTGGTCAATTTGAAGCAAGTTGAAAAAACACCTCTTAAATATAAAGTCAGATTTGAACTTCTGAAAACTTGTAGATGATTTTGAAAAATCTGAAGTCAGTCTAAACAGTATCTGATCACCAACCGCCGTCACAAAAAACAGAGACCATAACAATATGTCACCATTATTTGGTGGTGACATGAAAAACATGTATGATATTTTCTTATAATACAGGTTAAATACTGACAATATGAGTATATGAGCAATACTAGTAATACATGTATTCTTAAGAACTTGTATTACCAATAAACAACTTATGGATATTCAAATCAACATGTGCTAATGGAAAATTAATCAATTATATATAGATAATTGAGTGGTTAATATGATAAGACCGCAAGTTACTTTAGTTTTCAGTACATGTACAGAAATGAAAGTCCATAAGGCTCCTTTCAGTACAAATGCCCTCCCCTAGTGATTGTTATCCACATGATGCACCAGACCCCCAATCCCTTTCCTCATATTCCAGCCAGATATCTCATACCTGCACTTCCGAACTGCTTGTTCCAACTGCAAGATAGTTCCCCTCCTTGATCCATGACACACTGGAGACATAGTCCTCCTGGTTCTCCATGGACAGAAGTTGTTGGATGTTCCCTAAATTCAAACAATAGAATAAACTATTATTAAAATGTTCTCTTGTAACATGCAATACATTGAAATGTTCTTTGAATACACAAACAAATATTACTGCAGACATGACTTGGATGCATATTTCGAGGATTCACGTTTCGACTGAGAACTAAATTGATGACAGATATAGACTGATTTAAACTCCTCTAGTCCACATATGAGAGTATGGTGTTGCATAATAAATGGAGAGACATTTTTTATACCTGATGTAGCATTCCACAGGTAGATGTTGCCCCCAAGGCACACAGCTAAGTGGTTGTTTACCGACCAATCCAGCAGGTTGAGATCTGAAAAATGATGTACAATGTAATTCAATTGCTCAAAGGTAAATGCATACTTTCTATTGCTGCGTAGGTAAGTGCCATGCAATTAACTTATTAAAGTTTCATGCAGAATTTGGAAATTCAGACCAGGTTTAATCACCTCTAATCATATGAGGTAAAATGAAAGTGTAGTCCATGTATTAAGTCAGGAAAAATATTTTCAGGGATATACAGGTTACTCTTATTTTGAGCTGTACTTACAGTAGTCATCAAGTATCTCTGGTGCATCAAGGATTCTCTCTGGTACTTGTGGTATGTGGCGTACAGCTTTCCTACATGACCCAGGTGTTTTGTTCTGACTGTATAGCACCTTTAAGTTGTTCTGGTATCCTAGAAGGTTTGGAAACATTTGCAATAAGCTATAATGTGTGTAATCAAGGGAATCATATTTGAATGATGCAGCATTTTATGCTCTTACATAAAGCAATTCATTTGACCATTTGAACTTAATAAAACAACAATACAAGAACATTTTAAGTCATTAGCTTGTATTGTGATAGATAGAATCTTTAACATATTCTTGAAATGAGAAAATTGTCTGTCAAATACTTTTCACCTTATCTCAGTTTCACTTAAATTGTTGATAGCCTATGAGTCAATGGACTGAAGTATAGTGTAGTTGGGAACAACCTAGGCGCTAGGAGACATTGCTACCTCAATTTGGCACCATGTGCATTTGAAGTACATATAAGTAGCTCAAACTACCAACCTTCAGGGGCAGGTGGAGCTTTGGTTTGGTAGCTCATTATTTTAGCATTAAGTGCATCACCATGCAGATTATCACTCATCCCCTTTTGAAAATCTCTCTTTGATGGACTCATAGTTTCATCTTGAGCATTCTCTGTATCAGTGTTCATCACTTTGTAATGGGAAAGATCAAATTGTGTGGAACTGCGATTTGGAATAAACCTGTCACCAAGACCCTTGGGTGTTTTGGGAGTTTTACTGCCTTTACCTAAAAAACAATGTAAAGTAAATGCAAGTTTTAAATAAATCATGAGAATGGGCCAGAATGTTGTTTGTTAAGTGTTAAATCAAGACATGCACCATTGTATATTAATTACTAACACATTAATTCTAATCAGCTAATGGTGGATGACTAAATAGTCATATATTCAAATTCTATTTAATGTAAGCTTTGATGCTGACCTAACAAACAAAAATTAAACCAACACAAGATAAGTGTTAATTAGTCAAAGAGCATGCAATCAACAACCATGATCAAATGATTATAAAGACAAACAAACAATCCACCTCAATATTTCTCCAAGATGTTGATCAGTTAGTCTGAACTGAATTATTAGAGACTAATTAATTAATCTTAATTGACTAATTGAATAAATGTACCATCAGGTTAGACATTAGATTGAATTTGAAGTTGCTGTTGTTCAGTTTTAAAAATAACTCGTAAGTAAGTAAAAAGGTGATAAGCAAGAAAGTGATTTCAGCAAGAATTAACAAGAAATAAATATAAGAAAACCATTGCAACGATTGATAGGAGAAAAGTAATAGTGCAATAGAATTACAAGTTAAACCTTTTCAAAAAGAGAGAAGGCTAAGCACATCTACTAATCTTCGCCACAAGCAGGGGATCTTATCAGGAGGTCTCATAATAATGTTGTCAACCTGGACTGTATCATACAGACAGATTGTAACATTTCCCCCTCGGTCATAAAATAATAGCCAGAATGAGATGCATATTTGCATTTACTGTGTTTTAAAACACTTTATAAGACATGTATTTATTGATATCATGCACTTGTTCTGGAAATTATCTTAGCCCAAGACTTGCCTGGTGTTTTAGGTGTTTTTGTTGCACTTGGGGTCTTACTGTTAAGTGATTTATTCAGCGATTTCTTTGGCGTCTTCGCTGTAGTGCTGGTGTTAATAGAGGCATTCATGCCAAGTGATTTGTTCATCGAACAGTTCATGGAATTGTTGCATGTGTTGCTTTCATTCAGTTTTCGCTGCCACCTCATCATTGGGCCCTTCGTGATTGGTGCATCCATCTTTAGCACACTAGCCAGCTCATTCTCAAAGTTATATTGTGCCATTATCTGGAAATAAGATGTCAGCGCAGTAGTAAGAAGTTCTCCAATACTGTAGATATCCATGATATTATGGAGAACTTCCCACATCTGTGGGTGTAAGTCAAAAAGGTTCATTTAGAGCTTGCCATCGTCTTTTTCTGATGAAAATCATAAGTTCAGTTCACTACAGATTCTGACATAATGGAATTGCTAATGATTTACTTGACTCAATTACAACTGAGACTAACATAAAATTTTATGTCAGTCTCAGATTTACAATAGAACTGGGACTTGGGATCAGATTCAAAAAATTCTTCATCTCAAGATCTTTTACGATTTAATATGAAAACTAGACTCTAGCAACTTACCGTCTCTAAGCTCCAAAAAGTTATCTCAGAATAGTCCACGTGATGATGTTTAACTGATATATGAAGATGTTTCCTCTACCAGACCTAATATATCATAATTGGAGACAAAACACGACACATCCACAAATATACAGCTTTTGTATTTTGTGTTTTAAATTTCTGCTACAATTTGATTGGATAAAATTTGACCTCCTTATTTCTGATTGGCCAAAATTTCTTTTTCCGCCGGAAGTTGAATTTTGGAAAAAATATTTTCTAAATTTCAGTCGGTTTTAGTAATATTTCGCAAAAATAAAATAAATGATGGCAGTAAATTAATTTCTAGTCATACAAGGAACATAATAAACATATATCGTAAGAATCGAACAGTATTTTTTCTTCCCCGACGGCCAGGATAGGTAAGTGTAAAAAAAAATTAATCTAGCCTTTTTGTACCCCATACCTTAGGCTTTATACCTTATATTTCCGATTCATGATGTCTGCCATGTTTGTTTGAAAAATAAATTGAAATTTCCAACAGGCCAGATCTAATCCAAGATGGCTGACCCCAGAAACATGATTTATCGGCAATGATCGAACACATGCTATCTATTGCAAGACTTACGCCTGCCACAACCGTCGCCATGTTAATCAGTGTTTTTAAGTAGCGCATGGATCCTGCCATGACCGTGGTAGTGTTATCGTGTAAGTCTGGTATAACCGTGACAGGCTGGTATAACCGTGACAATGCTGTATTATATTGCAAGGCCTGTCATGACCCTGGGAGTGTTATCGTGGAAGCCTGGCGTGACCGTAGCCTTTATTGTGGTTTATAATAGAATGTGAACATTAATGTATAGTAGTAATTTTGATTTTGACATGATTAAGGTAGTTAGACACCATGATCATAGTATTAAACTGTTTAATTGTAATGACGATCACTTAAAATTGTTAAGGATATTCCTGGCATTAATGTCATACATATTTACTAGTCATTGCAATACATTATAAAGGTCATAGTAGGACTAAGCCTTAATTTCTACATTACCACCCTTATACCTGGCCTTGCAGTACTATATTACATTGCCATGGTCATGCCAGGCTTTGCAATACACATTGTCACGGTTATAACAGTCCTAATCGTAAATTTCTACATTACCACTCTCACACCTGAACTTGCAATACTATATTAGATTGTCACGGTCAAGCCAGGCCTTGCAGAACTATATAAAATTGCCACGGTCATGCCAGGCCTTGCAGTACTACAGTATATTACATTGTCACGGTCATGGCAGGCATTGCAATATAATACAGCATTGTGGCGGTTATACCAGGCTTTCACGATAACATTACCACGGTCATGGCAGGATCCTTGCGCTACTTAAAAACACTGAATACCATGTTGACGGTTACGCCAGGCGTTAGTCTTGCAACAGATAGGGTCTCTGATCGAAATAACCACGGACGTCGAGTAAGTTTCTGGTGAAAGCTGGAGCATAGATTATAAAGAGGACTGGAAACAAGATGGCAGTCTATTTCAAATCTGCCAACTCGTGTTGGCCTATTTATCACTATTGACTCAGTTGTTCATCTCGCTTAGTAATCTCTTTAAGGTACAGCTGGAAAGTAACATTTTGGTAAAAAATTGCTATACCAGCACATGTTATTTTCTGGTACAAAATAAAGTATGAAGACATGTGTCAATTGCCTTGCTTTTTTCAGGAAAGTATCATTACATTGTCTTCTTTAGGAATATCTAGTAGGAGTTCAATGGGAACTCCAGGAAATTCTGATATTTCACACTTTCTATTTTCCCAAATTTTCTTTCAAAGTTTCCAGACAACACAGGAGCTACCATTGACCTGTTTCCAGGTTTACTAAAAGTAGACAGTGTAATGATACTTTCCTGAAAAAAGCAAGGAAATACACACATGCCTTCATACTTAATTTTGTACCAGAAAATAACATGTGCAGGTATAGCAATTTTTTACCAAAATGTTTCTTTCCAGCTGAACCTTAAAGTATAATATTGTTTCCAAAATTATTGTCATTTGCGATAATTAGTACTAAAAGTACTTTGAACAGGTCAGCTGCCATTTGCTTGGCTGAATCGTCCATTCCACAAAAACAGTGAAATCATATTAAAATACCAATAAAACTTTAAAATTGAGGCAGATGCGATACAAAGAGACTCTATTAATACATATATACAGGTTACAGTCACCAAGATGAGCTAATTTCAGGCGAGATTCGGGAAATAAAAAGGTAGGTCATTCTTGTTTCCAGTCCTCTTAAATAATCTATGCTCAGGCTTTCGCCAGAAACTTACTTGACGTCCGTGGAAATAACACAGTGGTCGAAGCTAAGTAGCCTTGGCATGGCGAAGTAGCCCCATACGTTGAAGTAAGATGTAGCTCCCCTTATGAATTATGATTGATTGTTATAACAGTTCTGGCCATAATAAAGATCAATAAATGAATGGTGGGTTGAAACTAAAAAGTACTCCCTTCAAAAGGACGATTCTCGGTTTGGAGAACGAAGTTCATCAATCTAAATGAGCATTGTCCCTGCTTCGGACAAATTTGATTTTTTTTACAAAATATAGATTTGAATGTCTTCTTTTGAATAGTCATAATTAATTTGGGTACTATTTCTAGATTTTTCACAAAAAAATATTAGCGCAGTACACTGATGAACTTCTTTCCCCAAATCGAGACTTGTGTTTTATTGAATCGGTCTAATTGAGCGTTATCCCTGCTTCGGACCAATTTGTTATTTTTACATCTTCTAGATTCAAATGTTCTCTTTTGAATATTCATAGTTTAATTTGGGTAACATATTTCTATATTTTTCATGAAAAAAGTTATTAGCCCAGGAGACTGTTCTCTAAACCGAGAATCGTCCTTTACCTATATACCTCTGAGAATATTATCTCAAGGATAGAATGCACAAATTAAGCCAAATTTTTGCTATTATAGTAAAAAAATTCTCAAAATCTCAAAGTGATTATACATGTACTTCTTAATTCTGCATTTAGTCCGCCATTTTTTGCGGAAGTTATAACCAATCAGATTATTTGAATATTTCGCATATGTGTTAAGTATTTGCTCCAGAGCACTATACCATTAAAATCTAATCAGAATAAAATGGAGGTTTTACCAGCCCTACTTCATCTTTAGCAAAATGTGAGCTCAGACTCATTGTGTATAGGCTGGTGGTATAAAGCCTTGGAGGCACTAATTTTAGTAATTATGAATAACGGGCCATACTTATCTGCAATTTGGGAGAGTTTGGGACATCTAATGTTAAAATTCAAGAAAATATGCCAAATATCCGATTTATCAATTATTTTTGGCCCCAACCATGCTTTCCTCACATGTTTTGTACGTATGATAAAAAAAGTTACATCCATGTACTATTTTTAAATGATTTGCTGCTCTGAAATCTGAATTTTGTCTGATTTCAACAACACCTGACCGTTCCACAGCTGACTGACTCTAACTGCAGTTAGTATCATTCAAGATGGTGGTCAAAATTCTTTCCTTTTTGATAAACCAATGATTTCAGCTAAACTAAGTTGAATCTAGATTACAAATGTTTCGAACAGTGAACAATGTACAGGACAAAATACCCATGGCACATGAGGTACAACATGTACATGGATGAACTATACGAACCTCTGTAACTAAAAATAATTGAGAAACATTAGTCTAGTGTAGCAAAGTATAATTCTGTGTTTTAAAAAATGGTATATATGTGCACATCAAAATATTTGAAAATTATGCACAGACAACATGTTGAAATCCTCAGTAATGGAATGATTTGATATAAAAAAGTGGCCTCCATGCCTGCCATTTTTAGTTCAATTTCAAATGATTTTTAATTTTATACTCTCTCTTTTTAAAGGAGCTGAGTTCGAAATTCAGTATGGATCTGCTTGGCTCAATTCTCGGATCTATGGAGAAACCTCCAACTATGGATGAAGAACAAAGGAAAAAGGCAAAGGGTGAGTGAACCTTGAAGCTGAATATACTACAAGAGTTGTCATTTTCACTATCTGTGCATATTGATTAGAATAGGGACCATATGTGACAGGTTTACTTTTTTCTGGTATATTACCCATTTTATACATGGAAACTGGAGAAACTTTTAACATTATTGATATTGAAACCTGAAGGGGACAAAATATTTCCCTTAGTGCCATGCACTTATTTGCGACATTACAAAACATGTTATATTGCATTTTCTCATATGACTAACAAAGATACATGTCATCTTTACCCCATGCAAGATATTGCCATCTTTCATCATAAAAGGTCTTACGTGCAATACTGCAGGATGAGATTTACTTGAGACATCACTTGTTTATAAACATCAACAACATAGCAACAGATACACTGTTGCTATGAGTATCCTGATGCTCATTCTACAAAACTAAGCTGTGATGTCATAGCAATGGAAATAATTAAGAATCGACGATATTGTACTCATATAAGAACCTCTATGTCCAACCCAATACAGTGATAGGGATAATCTGTATGAAGGCATCATAAACACACTCAGTGTGACTGACTATGTAACTTTTTAGTTGTAATCAAGAGATTTTTCTCGAAACACTGCTTTGCAGGACGGACAGACATGCTAATCAACTGTGATCAAGTGATCAAGTTACTTGGGAACAGTTTATCTTATTGTGTTCTTTTAAAATAGAGCGCATGTTAGATATGTTAATAGAAGTAATAGAATGAAAACATTTATATGAAAGTAAATTGTAAAATTAAAGTAAAGTGCACTTATAAATGATTTAAGGTTGTACATAATTAGTGTACATACCTACATGGAGAAAAAGGGATAGCCTTTATCCCATAATTCTACCTGTAATCTGTATTCATGTTTTTTTCCAAATATGACATGTTCATTTGCTTTACTGTGTCTGATCAATATCTGAATTTCCTGAAACGAATAATGAGTAGGATATGACACTTGTATAATTAATCATACATCCCAGCGCCATCTAAATATGAAAATATGAATAATAGTTACTAACGTATGTGCTTTGTGCAAATGATCAAAATAAAAAAACTGGCGCAGACTGCCCCTCAATACAGTATATCTATGTTTCCTAAGTGACATCCATACATTCAAGTAGATTTCATGTTAAAGGATTGGGTGAAATACATATTTAAGTGAAACCCACCAGAATGTACAGCCTCAGGAAATGGGTTGGGTGGGAGGGTAACTTATTTTTTAATCATTTCCCAATTTCATGATATTTCATCCAAATTTCATGATATGTAAACTATTATCCATTCCATTCGCTAATGACTACCTCCCTCGAATTCCCTATTTAGAATAAACATTCACTCTACTCAATAATATAGATGTCACTTAGGAAATCTATGTTTCCTAAGTGACATCCATACATTTAAGTAGATTTCATGTTAAAGGATTGGGTGAAATACACATTTAATTTTACCCTTTACGGTGTATTTACATCCTTGATAATGTGATTTGTTAATTTTTACTACTCCCAATCCTCAGATCTTTAATAAAAAATTAACAAAAAACTAACGTGGACATCGGATTTGAGAGCAATCTCTCCCAGTAGTTCTAGTAGATGGTTTTCCATGATGTAATTATGAAGCTAATAAAACCTAAAATTGACCTCATATCAATGTTTCATTCATGAATTACTGGTGGGGAAAAATCAGTCCCCTAACATGAGTGATTAACCTCAATTGCCAATTACAGTCCTACTGTGGAGAGACAACTCTCACATCCGAAGTCCACGTGGTTAAAACCACTAAGAGATCAGTGCTCCCGGACTTTAGATGTAAAGAGAAGCCAATTGTTTATCAGACTTCACTAGTTTCAAATTTTACAAACTTCAAGTCATTTTCAAAGTAGTTTACAAGAGGGTACATGGAATTAAACCATTACATAACCAATCACTTGCATAGGTTATCCAGTCATGTCAAAACAATTCAACCTACTTTCTATTGAGTAAACCCCAGTTTTCATTCAATTGCCAATTACCAGATTATACCTGAGTGTCATTATTTTCATCACACTGTACTATAACGTACCGTATAATGACCTCTAATTTTACTGTGTTATAACACTTTGAATTTCCAGTGTTCATTATAAGGCCATGTTATCAAGATTTTTCATGTCATCAATGCTCTATTTTTCTTTGTTTCTGTCAAATATTTGCCTCTCAGAAAACTTCTCTTATATTGTCTCATAGTTATATTTAATAGCCCCTTGCTCTGGCATATATCTCTGTATCTCTAGGCTCTCAAGGCCTTTTAATCTCTTGGCCCTCAAAGCCTTTTATTTTAGCCCCTTGCTCGGGCATTATATCTCTAGGCCCTCAAAGCCTTTTATTTTAGCCCCTTGCTCGGGCATTTATATCTAGGCCCTCAAAGCCTTTTATTTTTAGCCCCTTGCTCGGGCATTTATATCTCTAGGCCCTCAAAGCCTTTTAATCTCTAGGCCCTCAAAGCCTTTTATTTTAGCCCCTTGCTCGGGCATTATATCTCTAGGCCCTCAAAGCCTTTTATTTTAGCCCCTTGCTCGGGCGCCCCTTGCTCGGGCATGTAAATCAAAATATGCTTACCACTGCTGAATGTACGTCTGGCCACTTCGAATTCCCTATTTAGAATAAACATTCACTCTACTCAATAATATAGATGTCACTTAGGAAAGTATAATATGGAACATTTATAGAATATGATATCCTAAGTCAGAAAATGAAATATGCCTCTCCCACAATTTTCTGAGAAGCACTCGACAGGTACAAGAAAATTGAAATAAAAATAAGTTCTGAGATACATAAGATAACAAAACAATTATCTATGAGCAAATGATTCAAGTTGTAGCTTGGACTAAAATGGAATTAATTTTTATTTCAGCACAAAAAGAGAAAATGGAAAAGATCCAGAAAAGAGAAAAAGAAACTCTAAATAAATTTAGGGAAAAAGTAAGAATGGCTGCCTTGTTAAATAGAAAAATCACCGTACATTGTACAAATGCAAAATATGCAGATAATGTACAGTAATTTTTTTAATTAGCAATTGGCATCAATTTATACACTGTATCTTATCTGACTTATTCTTCTCCAATATCCATGGGGTGGAATCAGAAGATGTGTCCGCTATAGGACATCAAGCTATTTTACTTCTGATCCCATCCAACATGTCCAATGATATCTTATTAATTGATTTAATATGTTTTTTATAGACATGTTCAGTTAGATCACACGATTTTGACTGATGCAGTCATCATATGTGAATGTAATCATACAGGGTGAGCAAAAAATGTAACCCAAACAAATGTTCACAACTCAGTCATCCAGCATGGTTTCAAAATTATATTAAATAAAGTTAAACCTTGTTCAATGTTCTTTCATTCTATTAAGTTTTATATGTCTGATCTAAATGGTTACAATTCTATGGCCATTTTACCAAATTTGCTTTAAAAAAACATTGAACAAGGTTTAATTGTGCCAAATATGACCTTAGATCCATGCTGAATGACTGAGTTATAAATTTGCTTGATTTACATTTTTGTCTCACTCTGTATTTCCCCAAATATATGTTGAATCAACAAATATATAAAGCTACCACAATATCACCATTATTTCACAATATCCTGTGTTATAAAGCCATTTATAACATCATGGGCTTTCAAAGAAATGTAGTATAAAGTACATATTAAACACAATATTACTTAAATATGAAGGACAATATTGAATTTACAAACAGTTCTTTTCATTGGATATTTATTTGTTTCAGACACAGAAAATGATAAATGACTTCATCAAAGATAGTTCAAAGCAGAAGTACAAGTTTGAACCAATGGACAAGGTTTATAGAGCTGTTGTGTGAGTGTAGATTTTATGAATAAATATACATTTAGTTTATAGGGTAATAACTAGACCTCATCATACATGTACCATGAGTGTTCTAGACTTAACATTCTGATCAGATCTCAGAGTTTGCTTGACACATATCCCTTGATCAGCTACGGCACTGTCAACCAAACTCACGGTATCATGAAGTCAGGTTTGAACATACCTGTATACAGTATGTACATTTGTACTGGACATATTTTTGAAAATAATGAAAGAAAATGGCATTGGTACTACCATGGGCTTTATCATGGTACTACATCATTTTTATCATACTAAAAAGGTATGGTGTTGTCAGCTTTTTCATTCTGGTCTATCCCATTGGGATGAGTATACATGTAAATGTATGAACTCCATGCAAAAATGTTCCTACCTTAATAACCACATATACATACTTTTAGATTCAAAACCTTTTTATGAGGAAAATATCTAATTACTTGTGTTTAGAGGGCAATCTGCAGACTGAACCATGGAGTTTTAATCTGTCAATAGGACAATGAATCTGCAGACTAGGATGATAATGGTACATATGTCAATAATACTATTTGTAGGCATGAGGTTGCTGATATAGCAGGACTAGTCTCATTCTCATTTGGTCAGGATGAAGTTGATAGGTACTGTTTAGTTTGGAAAAAGGTATGTAGTTTGTTTTTCAGTAACGAAACAGTTTTTTCATAGTAAATTAACTTTGCTTTTGATATTTAAACTGCAGTTTTTAAACAAAAGAAGAATAAAACTTTTACTTTTGAATTTTAAACAACCCCGCCTTCATTTCAAAATAGAAAGTGAGCTTTACTTTTAAATGACTTTTTAACCATGTTTTACAGAATGAATAAATCCACTCTGTGCTCATAAAATGTATGTAAAAGACATCTGTAAAAAAAATCTGAATCACCATTATTTATTATGTGTTCACATTTACTTTTATTTTTACCACCGGTGTTTTAAACATGCGCCTATTTTTGAAGGAAAAAGGACAAAATATCATTTTGGACATGTCACTCACACAGTCAATCAAATATGATAAGAACTTTAATTTGGGTCAATGCTGATGTGAAAAAAAATTACTCGCATAGGAAAGAGCATTTGAAGTTCAGAGATCAAAAGAAGTGAATTACCACTTTTCACAAAGTGTATGTTTTTAAATAACTCTTGGATTAAAAGATGGCGCATGGTTGAAAATCCTATCAAAGAATGGATAATTAATGCAAACAACAATGCCATCTTTCTATGGCATTGCTAAAAACTTGACATATATAGATTGATAGATCAAAAATATTTTTTCATGATCTTGTGTCAACTCTGATGTGTTCTGTTTGAGCTGTTTTGGTGACGAATGAAAGATCAGGTACTTATTAATCCATTGGAAATACTATGAAGATCAAAAGTGAGGCTTCATTTACACACTTTGTCCCTTTAATAGGAGACTATTCACAAATTTGCTATTTCTCCACCGCTTTGTTTGAAAAATGTAGAGAATCCTGTATTTGAATCCATTGGGTCATATTTTAGGAGTTTGCACCCTCAGACGATGAGCTAGCTGCCCTGAGGAAGGGTGAAGAATATGACCCCCTTAAGGCGAAGGAGCTAGCTAGACTTAAGGTGAGTATCGTGTGTCCCATTGAACAAAGCATTGTCTATGTTGCAATAGTCCATAAAGCTTATGTAGTAATTTGTATGGGATTCTTGTCAACATCAATCACATTGCTTATACATGTGTACCATGATTTGATTTCTTTGAGGATGTCCAGCTGAAACCAGCTGATTGGTCCAGTTCACATGCTCTTATATAAAAACCATTATCCAACCATGTATAGACTCATATTATGTTACCCTGCGCATCATGTTTTAACTAGTAGATCTGATATCCTTGTTACATAATTTGTACAGTGGAGTAGCATGGATATTTTGTGATTGAACGCCAAGAGTGAGTGAACCGAATGAAAATATGAAATTGATATTGCTTTTGAGGCATTCTGGGGTGTTTTAAAACACAAAATTCCATCTAATATGGACAAATTAATATATGTAAATTATTGGCCATTTTTATCCATTCAATAGTGTGGAGCAATTCAATATTCTACTTTTCTCTAAATTGTTAGAGTATGCCATGTCGTTTTATGCGTATATGATGCTATGCCATTGTTATATATTAGTATTTAGTAAACATGAATCAACATTTTCTGTAGGCTATATTTTGTCACAATCATTGAAGAACTTCAGACTTGTCTCTTCCAATTACAAAAATGAAAAGTATCGGTATTTGTAACAGAATTCTGGATCTACTTAAGTCTATAAAACTTAAATGCCAACACTGAGTATTTGTGTGTTCAAGGATCAAGAGGCAGCAGAGGCCAGACAAGCCCCCAAGAGGCCAGCAACCCATACACCAAATGCTGATTACCACAATAAATATGAACATATCCTGGGAAAGACATCTGCAAAGGATGCAGCAAGGCTCACCACTGCTAACAAAAACTATGGCTTTGGTAAAATTAAGAATTAAAAATAAATCATAAATGAAGTCTATTCTGACAATAGGTGTAATTTTCTACTTATTGTTGAAATCTTTCAGATGAAATTGTTGATAAAGACCCACAAAATTTAGGTTAGTTGAAATTCTTGAAAGGAGAGTTGATGAAGGGGTTTTAAATTTTAATCCTTTGTTCAAGTAATACTTGTTTGAATTGATTGATTAATTTTAACTTGAATTACGATTTGTTGTTCCTTACATTTTATACATTCTCATAATCCATCTTATTTTGATTTCTTACAGTTCCAAGTTCCAATAAAAAAGATTTACGAACAATAGAGCAGGTCATGGCAGATAGCAAAGCAAAGAGACAAAAAGTTGAGGATGTGTCACAAACAGAGACTGATGTGTCCACTGAGGAACACAAACCAGACACATCAACCAGTGCTGGTACTTGAACTAGTTATACATACATAGCAGCTGGAGGTTCAGTTAAGATGTTCCATAAATCTATGCTTGAGTTTGTCATTTTTCTGAAGTTTTGTTTAAGTGTAAATTCTCAGAAAAACTCTCTGATGGCATTGAACATACATCTAGAAGCACAAAGACTGATCATGCCTGTGAACTTTTTTTAAAGATGATATGGTGCCAGATTGAGTGGATCATATGAATATTTAAAGTTTCCTATGTTTTTTATGATACAGGACACAAGGTAGAAATGGTCATATTTCTAGTAAGCTTCACAAGAGGTATTATTGTAAGATTTTGTTCCAGACATGTACCTACATCAATGGGTAGTCTGGTACTCAAAACATTATGGAATAAACGGAATGAATCATAAACATACAAGTAGGTGTTATACAGAAGTCCTGTGGGATGAATGTGTTACTTTTATCCCCTGGCTTTTATCTCTCCATTAGATGTGTACTTTCAAATATTCACATTGCAGCTACATTTCCATGCGTTGAAATACCACCGAAACTCATTTTTAATTGTGTTCTGCAACTTTATTTGGTAAACTTACACATTTCATTCAAGATAATATAGAATTATGTCACTGTTGTCAATGGCATGTGTTTGCCCATGCGCAGATGTACTTGAATTCTTTTGAAATATTGGCGAAAACATGAATTGGCGAATTTTTACAAATGGCCCAATTTAAAACAGTCGCCACATATAGTAGAGTAACAGTATTCCAAAAAGTCAGCCACTTTCTGATGTTATGTTTAGGACATTTATAATTTATGTATCATTGGAAAGGTTATTTAATACCCAGTATTTTGAGCTTACTTATAACAATATTGAGCCATTATTAATGAAGAAATTCATATTCTAAGAACATAGGTTTTTTTGTTTCAAGTCAAAAACTTACATTTTGGGTATTTGAACTTTGAACAGCTCTATTAAACTTGCCTCCTAGATGGGTTAGAGTCACACTTTTTCTGCTAAAACATGCCTAATTCAGTTTTAAGAAAAGTTACAAAGTTTCACTTCAAAAAAGATCTGCCCTCTCCTAACCGTTTAAGGGTTAATTGAAATAGTTATATTAAATTAAACATTTTTGCCCAAAAGAACAGGCTAGTTTATATGTTCTACGACGTAGATGCACATGCTGTCCCTAAATTGTTTTCATGATAGTGCAACAGGTACCCTTTGCATTCGTTTGACTTCACTTCTTAAAAGAGAGCTTCGTCTTCTAGACTCTGCGCGCAGGGTATGCAACAGATTAAAGTTTTTCTAAAATATTGTTTCATACTGTCATATAATATTTATGATACTACAGTATACGTGATTTAAACTTTGCACGGGGCCTTTAAAAAAGGTTTTGAAGAAATAATATAATTCCAGGCATAATCATTTAATAATGAACTTTCAGGGTGAAACATATTTTGGCCTCGCCTCTTGTTAATAAGGCATTTTAAACAAAAGAAAAAATCATCTATAAACCACACTTTATTCAGTTTAAGTATCTTCATAATTACTATAAACATGATGGCGTTTTAAAGAATAGCCTATACAGTAGTATTTTTTACATTGTCACCACGTGGGTGGCATATTGTTATTACAAATTGCCTTTGCCATATTGTGACCAGCCCCCGACCTCAGCAACATTTGTGTGGTGACAAATTGTCACGTTATTGTCTTGTTACAACTGGTTAAACAATTTACTACTGGCCAGTGACCACCCCCTGATCCCTAATTCTCTACAACTTGTGTGTCTATATTAGCAGTATCATCTGAAGCTACTGTTGTGGTGGCTTGTGTGGTAGTAGAAGTGATGACCGAGTGTGTTGTTGCGCTTTCTGTGTCTAAATCTGAGCAGATGTCTGTCTGATCCAACACAGTCAGATACACATTGGCTTCAGTATACAGACTTTGCAGAACAGTGTCAATTGCACGTACTACAAGCTTCACCTCTTGGCTGGCTAAATCAACTATACTTTCCTTTATAGTGATGAGCCCCTTTTTGGTATTTATTTCAAAATAGTCCGCCATTTCTCCTTTCATGGTGTACATAATTGGTGTACGTATTTCATCTCTGTCATCGCATGCAAAAGGTGTGGCAACAATTGTCCCTACTGGGAATGTACTTAAGATCATGTAATTGTAATTGTTCTGTGGGAAGCTTGGAGGGTTATCATTTTTGTCTAAGACAGTGACTTTGATAGTATTGGAGGATACGAGTGAGGGTTGACCTTGGTCTTCAGCAAAGATTGTGAACCTGTAGTATTTCTTCGTCTCCCTGTCTAACACCTTGGTTGTGTAGAGTGATCCATCTGTACTGTTTAACCAAAATGGCACTGCAATAAATATCAATTCATACATCATACACAAGTGCACATACTGTATATAAGTGTATGTACTATGGTCATTTAATAACTGTAATAACTGCTGTGCGTATAAGTTGAATTTGGTAACTTTTTCTTATGTGATCAATTTTGGCCCACCTATCATTTAATGATCATGACGTTTGCATGATATGCGTCTACTCACCATTTTCCTCTACATACGCTTTGATATTATCCCCGTCATCTGGATCAGATATGACAACATGGCCAATGAAAGAGCCGGATGGCAGCCCCTCCATAATCGCTAGCTCATCTCCAATGACTAAAGGTTTGTTGTCGTTGACGTCTAGCACTGTGATGTTTACCATGGTGTATACCCTGTTGTAAGGAGAGGCCGTGTCCTGTATTGAGACATTTAAACAGTAGTGGCATTTCGTCTCACGGTCCAGTAACTCACGGACAGTTATTGTTCCTGAAAGATACAGACATAGGGAGAATGGCCATCATGAATAAAGAATATTGAAAAAAGATAAAATTCTAGAAGTAGCCAAGATTTCTATAAAATGTGAATGACTCCTGAACTATCGGCAATTTAGCCTCGAGATTATTTAAATAACTTGAGTCAATTAACAAGTAGGGAGAGGACTGTTTTAAACTATGGTCTACAATTATAGATGATCACGTAAGCGTTGATGTGAATTCATGTTGTACAGTGTACTAGAATTGGGTGTTATCCATGGGCATGATAAGCCAGGTTTTAACAAACATTTTGTTTCGATAAATACAAGATTGGAATAAATTTTTAAAGGTTGTACTACATCCAAGAGACAATTAAAGGGACGCGCATGTATTTAGACCAATTGCTTCATCGATGCCTTGTTCATGTATGTCCACAACGAGTGCCACTCAGGATAAACCTCAGAGTTTTCTTTTGTATTTCACTCACCATTGGTTTCATCAACTGCAAACTTTTCCAAATCGCCATATACAACTCCATACATGAGTCTATTATTGGCCTCAGTTGCATCAGCATCACTGGCCTCTATCTGACCAACAACAGTATCAATTTCCACGTCCTCTGGAATCTTGATGTTTACTGTCTCAGCTGCTATGGGGCCGTTGTCATTGTGATCATTAATGTTGATGCGAATACTGACCTTTGTGTCAAAACCAGTGCCCTGTTTGTCAGTAGCCAACATCTAGAAAATAGTATTCCATTTGAATCCGGCTGAAGTTTTCAAAGATTGAATGCCCATGGTTCAATGGAGAAATGGTGATAAACTGAATTAATTTTTGTGAATGGAGTACTGACGTATTCATAAATAAAATTCAATTCATGAATTCATAACCAAATGTGAAAATGATTGGAATAATTTACAATATGTATAGTCATAATAGCTTACCTCTATGTTGTAATGATCACGTCCGGCGTCTCTATCTATTGCCCCTGCTTCGGACTCTCTCACGTAGAGTGTCCCATAGAGTGGGTCAACTTGGAATATCTTTCTATCCGGTCCGGTTATTGAGTAGCGGATCATCTTGTTGGCTGACGTGGCATCGTTGTCAGAGGCATACAATGGCGGTTCCTGTTACACATTATTGAAACAACAGGTTAAAAACGTGCAGTTACCATAACTGAAAATCAAAACTGCTTTTCATACATGTCCAACAGATTGAAGTATTGGCATATTGAAAACATTCAGATGACCATTGAACTGCATGGACAAGTAAAGTGGAATAAACACAAGACGAGGGTTGACCCAATGTTTAGCCTCCTTAGGACAAATACGTTCGCTTTGTATTATGCAGAATCAAGTGTCTGCTTTGGCTAACAATTTCAGCGAATCCTTACCATTTTAACCTCTTGTCGTGGCATAGGGTCATCGTCATCTTCACATATGTGTCCAACATATGACTCACTTGAGAAAGTTGGGTAGTGGTCGTTGAGGTCTATTACTTCAATCCTGATGTTGCAATGATCCTATATCATATAATAAACTACTATTATAATCTGACATAGACTTCAGTTTCCCTAAATGAAGTAGTGTGGAACTCATCACATTTTGAGTAGGCCTATCTTGATCTAAATATTAACACATAACTAAGAATAATGTGTTCAGTTTGAAATCACAAAGAAAATTGCTGAAGTTAATTTCGACTCGAGCTAAAATGTGTTTATATGAGACGGAAGGCACTGCCAAGTGGTCACATGTGTTATGTATTACATGTATTACCTTCAGTACTGGCGTCCCTTGATCATATACCTCAGCGATGATGAGAAAATAGGACCTATCTTCTGCGTCGATTCCCCGATCAACGACTATATCACCAGTAGTCTGACATAGAAGAAATACATAGTTATTTTCGTATTTCAATTTAGATTCGTCAAAAATTATTTCACAACCAAATGACTCACAATGAATGTCACTAAAATAGATATTATTTCACTAAAATGGTATCCTAATTCACAAAGTTTCAGTTCCCCAACATGTATCATAACCACGACGTTGAAGATGTGAAATCAATCAATAAAGAAAGTAATGTAACCATAAATGGAGGTGGTGCCATCCAAAATATTACTGACCTCGTCCATCTTGAAAAACTCCGTTCCTTCACCATGAATGATCCTATACTTTAGAGCAGAATTCTCTCCTTCATCTCTATCTGTGGCATTAACCTGACCCACGTGGTGTCTATGGGCAACGTTTTCCTTCACTTGAAACACGTAGAGACGGCTGATGAAACGGGGCTGGTTGTCATTTGCATCAGCAAGTGTGATTTCGACATCCACCTCAGTAGACTGAAGAGTGAAGTAGTGCAAAAGGGGGGACATTAATTAAATTGCTACATTAAATGTAAACTAGACAAGATATAGCCGCTTCAAGAAAAATATGGGAGATGGTACAAATGTCCCATGGCTTTGTTCAGTTGTTTACAAATATTCAAACAATTATGTTTACACTATGTTTTAGTACAATTCCAATTTAATGAAATGGTAGAAATACAAAAACTATGTTTTACTCTTATGGAAAACTCATGACTTACAAGGTACTTGGCTGGTACTATAATGAGTTACGTTCAGCTATTGCCCTAAGAACCAAATAATAAGATCAAAGATCACTTACATGTATACCGTCATCAGCTTTCACGCGAAGTACATAACTTGGAACCTCTTCTCTGTCAATTTCTGGGCAGCTAACAACTGAATATCTGTTAAACAAATGGTTTGATAAAATGGCATCTGGGGTTGTTAAGAACAATTACCTGATTCTATGTCTCATTGAATTCTGAACATCTTCAGATCGTTGAACTAATGAAGTTGATATCTGTTTTATTTGCTAGGGCTCCAATCAATGGTTTTTAAGCATTACTGGGCCTTTTGGGCCTTGTTTTTAATTTTAGGCCAAATTATTCCTTGAATTCTCAAATTTGGGTCCAAGTTTTGGTTTTAAACTTAATGACCTTAACCGGCATGATTCTTTGTTCTCAATCATGCCAACGGTGTCATTAGCATGAAAAATTAAGGGGCATGTCAAAAAAGTCAGGGATGACCTTTTTTTATTATCACAGGCACATTCCATATTGACCCACATGCAGAGATCGTCCCCAAGTCTTCTCAAATCAACTTATTAGTAGTTACCCATTGATCAACTTGAAGCATCCATCCTCGTTACCACCAACAATACTGTAATCCACAGTCCAATCTCCATCTTGGTCTACTGCCTGAAGTAGATCAACGTGTAAATGCGATCACGAAGTATAATATTGGAATTGGATACTTCTATAGTAACAACCCAGTCACATTTCCTGCGGCCGCCGTGCGGCCTATCATTTCTGCGGCCAGTAACATTTCTACGCTCGCCGTGGAATTTCTGCGCTCTCAAACTTTTGCAGTCACATTTCCCACGGCAGCCGCAGGGTGAATTTAAAATTTCTGTTGATAAATAATACTTTTTTCATTTTATTTACGTCGGGACAATTTATAAATGTTATTCATAGTGCTAGGATGTAATATCAAATGAAAAGTGATCGTGAAACATTGACAAATAATGATTCAATCTTGTTGAGCCAGTTGATTTCTACGGGGACCTCAGAAATGAACAAAAATTATAACTCCGAGTTATAATTTCTACGCCTTCCCTGCGGCCTGTAAAAATCTGCATTCGCCGTGCGGAGGCCGCAAGGCGAGCGTAGTTTTTCTACGCTCGCCGCAGAAATTCACCGATTTAATTGATCTGCGGTCGACTTGCGGCCGCCGTGCGACAAATGTGACTGGGGTGTTATTAGCTGAATTATACTCTTGGAAACGCAGATTGAAGAGGAGTCTCTTAATACGCAAAGACGATAACCTTTTAAAGAACAAATAAGAACAATACCAGTGTGTCATAATTATGAAATATCCGATTACTAAAGGTTGTTACAGTAGTTCTATTTTCTCATTGAACAACATGACATGCAAAAGTAGAGCTATTACCTTTACGTCGACTATAGGAGTACCCGCAGGAACAAGCTCATTGACAACAACAGAATAACTTTCGAGAAGAAACTTTGGAGCAAAGTCGTTCTGCTCTGTGATAACAACTTTGACCGAAACATCCATCCATCTGAAAGCATAAAGGGAGTTTCGGTAACAAGGAAGTTTTTAACAATATGTTTGACTCCATGCGACTTGATGGGTCTCAGAAATCGACGGGTCTTTGCCTCATCAGAATACGTTGGATGACCCGAAGAGTTAAGAATTACTTGTCACATGAGAATGCTTATATCGTAAATGATTAAGCAGTATTTGGAGTTTTATCCAAATTGAAAAGTTATTCATGATCAATAAAAGCAAGGAATATACTGTTAGCAATCACTATTATTTATCCTAAAACCCAGTTCTCATACTTTACCCGTAGCATAAAAGCAAAATTAGCCAATACCGTTAGCAATCACTATTGAGGAACATTCGCGCGACTTTACTACTCACTTCGTAGTGGTAAAGTTCACAGGCTGGTCGATTGCACGCACAGTCAATTCATAAGTTGGGTACACTCGTATCTTTCTAAGCTCCCGAAGGTCTGATTCAAGCCGAAGTTTTCCATCTTTTTCCCCGAGAGAGAATCGTGTTGGCCAGTCGGGAGGAGAGCCCCCTATTATCTTATAGCGTACCTGGCCATTACCCATCAACATTTCGTCAGCATCGCTGGCTATAATCTATAAATACAATACACTTAAAGCTTGTATTCGCGAATGCAACTAACGCCTGTCGGCTACCGGATTAACTTAGCTTGTATTCGGAAATGCAACTAACACCTGTGGGCTACCGGATTAACCTACTCTTTTATTGCAAACTCATTTAAATATGAATAACCTGCCACTATTCCATTCATATTTAAATGAGTTGCTCATAAAATACTAGCTTAAACCGGTAGTTACAGGCGTTAGTTGCATTCGCGAATACAAGGTTACTATTTTATGGGAAACTCATTTAAATATGAATAGTACCTACCAGTAGTCCATTCATATCTAAATGAGTTGGTCATAAAATAGTAGGTTAATCTGGTAGCCGGAAGCCGTTAGTTGCATTCGCGAATACAATGTTACTATTTTATGGGAAACTCATTTAAATATGAAGAGTAATTGCCAGAAGTCCATTCAAGACATATCTAAATGAGTTGGTCATAAAATAGTAGGTTAATCCGGTTAGCCGTTAGTTGCATTCGCGTATTCAAGCTTAGCTACAAGCTCACAAATGCAACTAACGCCTGTCGGCTACTGGTTTAATTTACTATTTCAAGGGCAACACATTTAAATATGAATAGTAGACTACAGTATTTGCAATTTGTGCATAAACCATGCATATACCAAAGTTGTTTTTTAATTTAAAACTGTCACTAATTGTAATGATACATTTATAACACACTTTACAATTGTCACTGCTTAGTATCAAGCAGAGGCCGTAATCTTCGCATCTAAGATGGCCAACGTTAATTGTCGATTTTAATATTTTTATTGTCCATTTTTATATTTCACGTTAATATGCTTCACTATTTGAACCAAAACAGGCTTATATGACATAAGCACTATATGGACGTTAATTGTCGATTTTGATATTTTTATTGTCCATTTATTTGAACTGCTTTATCACCGTGTTTATATTTCACGTTAGTATGCTTCAATATTTGAACCAAATCAGGCTTATATGACATAAGCACTATGAAGTGATCATCAGAATCATGACAAAAATGTTCCAGCTTTCTAAACACCCCAAGTCCCCAACTCTGTTATTTTATGAACAAAACATCTTATGCAGCAAAATTACCTGTCCTATGAGATGCCCCTCTAGCGTACCATCGGTTATACTATATGAGTATTCAGTTTTTGGGAACACAGGTCCGTTATCGTTAACATCATCCAAGTATATCTCCAACAGAGCGTTGGGACGGCTTCGTTTACGATCTTTGGATTTTGTCTCGATCGCTGCAACCTACATCAAAGCCATCAAAATTTCTTCAGTCTTAACATCGAATTGATCGAAGAAACACAACGCATAACATCAAGCAAATAGTGAATATCATTGCGCCGTTGAGAAGATATTCTGTCGTCCAGACAATTTTATATCCAATCCTCGTGGATCTCATCTGATCTAGAATGCTTGAATTTGTAATTTAAACTATAAGTATTAATTGAACTGTTGTGATTCGTATCTCCTCTGGCTGTTTTTCACATTATTATACAAACCGATAATCTGAAGTTTTGCCTCTGTTCCCTGTCGAGCACACTTTCGTCTTTGACGGCGACGATGCCACTACTTTCACCTATTTCAAACGCTCCACTCTGATCTTGTAGCACGTACTCGAACTCATTGTTTATACCCTGAAGACACATGGACAAAGGTAATGCTAAAGAGTTTGCAACGGACCTCACGGGAATCATGTCTACCGTAAGATAGATGAGCGTGTACAAGCGTTCATTTTGGTCATTTTAAAGGTTTTAGAATGCGCTGACTTGCACCGATTTGCCTCAAATTGAGAGAGACAAAAGAGAGAAAGAGAGAAATAGATTTGATTGTGCACACACGCTTACATAATCATCATCATCGGCTGATACTTTCATCACTATTGTTCCTGTTGGTGTGTTCTCTTTAATGGTGGCATTGTAGACGTCATCTTCAAACTTTGGGGCATGGTCATTAACATCATCAACAGCTATAACTACTGAACAGTTACACATCATTCCCGGGTCATCCATTTGTATTGCCTGCAAGGATATAGAACATTACAACCATACCCCAAACTCGTTTCTCAGTTTGACTTTCAATCAACATCATACCTTGGAAATCCAAGATGACCATACCCTGCTCTGAACTTATGAGTATAGATCACACTACCGTACCTCGATCGCGCATGCACGAAATTTTTGGCTTTCAACCAGGTCGCTTATGAGTATATCGACTGCTTAGTCAAAAGGTTAATACTTTGGTGCTCAGAGTGGGTCAATATTGTTATTCGCTGAACTTCAGTGGTGCAATAGTGAAGTCCATGTTCCAAGTTATATGATGGTTGAAGAAAGAATGTAAATAATATCGTTTAAATGTTAAAATATTTGATATGTCATAGTACAGGGTACACAGTTGCAAAAGTTGATCAATACAGGGTACAAGGAATGTAAATTGTTCAATAATGCAGGGAGCGAAAAAGTAAACTGATTATACAGAACGATTCGCTGGTTTTACATAAAAAACAATTCTGAGATAATATACTAAAATCGTGTTTTGTACGATGGTGTGATGGTATATTTTTAAACCACTAAATGTAATTGATCTAATCTTTATTTTCAGACGAGTACAATAACAACGTACATGTGCCAATCAATTTTTTAATGCGCTTGATATCCTAATCCAGTGGTAAATGGAGCATAGCTGTTTTTGACATTTAAAACCAGAATATTATGAATATTATAGAAGGAATGATACGTTTCATTGGAGTTCATTGATGTATGAATGCATACAAGGGGTGTCATTAGAATACGCCATTAGAATATTTCAAATGGTGTATATATGGAAATGCTTGCCTAAAATTGCAAAATAACTATATGTGCGGAATATGACATATGTTTGAATCGTGTTTATCGCGTAACCGTTACCGCTGCCATTTTGAATGTTGACTAGACATAGTGCTGTACAACTAGTGTATTTGGAGGAAGTGGATTCACAATACTATAACTATGCTTAACCCATACTTTTTACTCTGGAAACTATTACCAGATCGATATAGTCTTATATGACATGTTGAATGTCAGATGTTTTTGGATGGTATCTGCTCCAGTGATTTTGCATTTAATCATGAAACGCTCATCACTAGACACCTCAAAACAAACATTATCCTCTTCGTGACAAGAGGAAAAATGTTTCACTATATGTTGTGCCTTACGGCAAAGTAAAGATGCATTTCTGGGACGACTTTTATTCGTGTTGAGATTTTAGAAAAACAATTAATTCACAAACATACAGTTGAATAACATACTAGAAACCATATCTACATATAACACAATGACACGCAGTATAAATAACAGTTAACTGGTTTTTTTGTTACATACCAATGTCAGAATAAGTAATATTTTCGAAGTGAAACTTAGACGCTCTCTGTACGTTACTAGATTTACTGAAATGTATCTTGTATTGCTTTCGAGTTTTGCTTCACTGCGCCCACTATATTTTGTTGCCAACAATATTCTACAAACAGCTTGAGGAATCTATTTTATGTCTGGTAGAACACTAGGAATAAATGTAAAATGTATTTTACATTCAGAAATATGGAATTAAACCCACGTCCTCCATTTGCAACTTAACTGTACCCTGTTTTCCGTGGTCACGTGGTAGGGTAGTGTGAGGACAGGTATACGATAAACAAAACTCAACGGTTACCTAACTGTCCCCATGAGTTTCGTGACCGTTCAAAGTTGAATAACAATATTGTTTATTTGTTGTAACGTGCTGCAGTTATCAAGTAGCAGCCTATTCTTTAAGTGCTTAATAAGTGAACCATTAGTCAACTAATAATAGTTATTAGTAATCGAATGCTTTAGGTAATATCATCCCTGTAATTAGACTTCTGATTCACGTTTCAGATTATACATCGTGGTAAGCCACGCCTTCTCCATGCAAGGGAACAGAGATGCAACAGAGAGAGATGCTATATGAGTATCAGAATGAAGATTATATAATATTATTATATACCTCAAATGTATTCTAGATGCTCATTGGCTTATTCATGGTCACATGACATGGAATAGATGAACTAATTCCCTGGAAAGTCCTAAATCCCTGCTTTCAGGGAAGATGAATTGTACTAATCACCAGTTAGGTCATGTGACCAGTCAATAGTACATTTTATCTTCCCCCAAATCTGAGATTATAGGAGTTGAAAGGTAAAATGCCTTTAAATGCCAATAAGAACCTGTGAACATTTGATATTGAAATGAAAAGACTTCTCATTTTGTTTTTGTTTACAGAGTACTTATCAGGTATATAATAAAACAAATAGTGACTGCCACATTTTCGGGAAATAGTGTTAAATTTTTCCTCTCGGGAATATCCTGTCCACTGACTTGTTCCCTCGGCCTGCAGCCTCGGGAACATGTCAGTGGACAGGATATTCCCTTGAGGAAAATATTTTGCACTATTTCCCTCAATGGCAGTCACTATTTGTATACTGTTACATTGTACACCAACATACGACCCATATGATTTTCTTTAGCATTGTCAATCGACTGAAAACAGCTTTGAAAACATCCTATTGTCTAAATTGTCACCCAAAACTGATGAACTGACTAAGTAGTCTTAAGAAGATTATTTACTGTATATCAACGCCACGCGTCTATTTTACGATGGTAATAATCTAATCATGAATTCCTTTAAAGGGTGACGCATATCGTTTAGCAAATCGAACGCTCGTTTCTGGTGTTGCTCACCGTTTAGTATAAAAGGCCCGATCCCGGAATAATACTTAAGGGTTCACAGGTTCGAGGTCGTTGTGTCAACACCTCTAACTGTTATATCACTCTACTATACCTTGCATTTGGCTTTCATGAGCAACGAATTTGGCTTATTAGTAATGATTATATATTTGTTTTTATTTGTCTGTTCCTTATTAATGGTTTATCGGTTGAAAGTTAGATGTTGATAAGGTACTTTCAAAAATATACTCAACAATCCAATTAGACAAACAAAGTATTTTATGCATTTCTAGGTGTTAGGTATAGTAGTGTGTATATAGCATAAGTATATCATAGATCGTCACACATTTATAAAAGGGTGATTTTTATTTTGACAAATCAATTCCACATTTATGGGTGAAGTTTCAGGATCTTCTATTGATGTATAATAAGGAAAAATTGGCATCTAAATTTCCCCATAACGTAATAGCACACAGCTTGGCATATGAAATATCCTACAAATGAAACAAAGCAAGACAAACCGGTTTCTAATACAAGGATTTATATTGGCTGTTGTACATGTATTCTTTGAACGCAATCACTCTTTGGATAACGTTTTCAAAATCATTATAAACGGATTACTTTATCTCAAAGACAATTTCAATAAACTGGATTTTACAGAACTCCCCTTATTTCTTAAAAATGGACTGATCCAGTTGATTCGCCTGGAGCCGCCATATTGTTTTTATACGGGATGCTAATCGGAACCCTTTAATGAGAAATACATTGAAGATAACTTGGTGCAATACTCCTATTCGCGATAAGAGTTCAGGTGGTAATTTACATAAATATCTCCCATGATGCATCACTTTGGAAGGGACACATTTTCATTGGCCCGCCGAACGAGTCGAATACTCTGAACGTTTCTCAGCTTCTGATATTCCATTAGCCCTCAAGCATAGTTATATGATCCAATCTATTGAATAATCAGAAAGATAATCGGAGATTCAAAGTAACATTATTGATATTTTTTCGATCTTTGATGAAGTCTGAGCAATTTCTGGGAAATCAGTGACGTCACTGGAGTTGGACGGCATTTTCATCTACAGATTTCTTCGGATTTGGGGATTACAGTTCAAAAAGCCTTGTTATATATCTTACTTACATGCATACCTATCATTTGTGCAAATGCAAGTCTACATGAATGTTTAATAGAGTCGCAGTGCGGCATTGAAAATAGCACCCCTGTGTAATCCAATGGGAAAGAACCCGGATGTAGACGAAGTTGTACCATACATGAGAGCTCTTCAAACGAGAGTTAACTAAACTGAACGAAAACTAAACGTTATCGCGTATTGGTATATTCAATTGAACTTTCCATTTCGAAGTTTAGATTACTTATAAATGAACAAAAAGTGTCTTATTATGATATAAATGGACATACTTGAACAGTGAACATAAATGTTGGAAATCCAGGAACCTCCCCATTTGCTATATTTGTATGTCTTCCCACTGGTTTGATTTGCCGCACAGAACCCGTAGACGGATCTATAGCAAAATGTTCCTCAACATCAGATGAGGCGTCCACTATTCTGTACTCTATTGGAGCATCCTGACCTTCGTCTTGATCAACGGCACGGATGTTTTCTGGATCAAATTGCAGGAACTCCTGATTAAAATGAACAAGAGATGAACGATGTATATTTGGTTGTGGAAAGTTCGCCCTAATAGGATAGTTTCTAAATAGCAGAAAAATCAATGAAATCTCGTGCTGCCATCTTTTATTCAGCTTTTAACTCGGGCTAGAGCTCCATTCATTTACATGCTAAAATCTTGGAAAAGTGGCTTAATTTCATGATTTATCAAAGTGTGTTTGTTGAATCTGTATAAAACTTGAATGATATACCACATGATGACCCTGTTTATGTACATGATGTGATTAAACATGCAAATGTTGATTGACATACAAATAATCCACAGATTTAAAGAATTTTAGCATTGCATCTATGGACATTTGGCCCAAGTTTTTTTAAATTGTTATAGAAAATTATTCAAATTACATAACTGTGTAAATCAAAGCTATTAAAGGAGAAAACATTTCACTGAATTCAAATATGCCATTTAAAAGAAGGTAATGTAAGTCATTAGAGGTCTAATATGCAAGTCTCTTAAAATCTCACGAAAAACGAGATTTAGCGAGATTTCAAAAGCTATATGGAAACTATACTATTCTTTAATTGGAGACACACTATTTTGTTTTGATATCTAAGAAATGTACATTTTACCTCTAATGATAAGAAGGCACACTATCGGGATATTACTTGATACGTCTCAATACAAAATGAGTATTTATTCCTCCCAGACATAAAGAGTTGCTTAATATCTCTCATTTTATTTGTACGGCTGACAAAATGTTGCTCTCTTATACTTACACCTGTTACAGGGGGTCTGTCACCTATCAGCGTAGACTTATATACGTGAGAATCAAACATTGGCGGAAGGTCATCTTCATCTATAACATGGACACATACAGTGGTCGAGCTGGTCTTTGGAGGGCGTCTGGAATCTGACGCTATGACCTTTAGGGAGTATTCGTGTATACCTATGTCATAGTCTAATTCCTTTACTAGTTTGATCTCTCCAGACGTTTTATTTAGCTCGAACGCATTTGATTTTGGTTGTACCGACTGTAAGTGGAAGAGGACAACTATTAATACAGACATTATTACTTCATTTCATTTTTACCATAACTTTTCCAACAGTTTTCCTTTGACCTTTATAAAAAAGAGCTTCATCTACCCCAATGTAGGAGGCTTTTGGTATATTTCCCGCCGCGCAAACTTCTTTATGGTCCAACCAAGTATCGAGGCAAAATTACTCTCTAGACCTCATAATCGGCAAATCTGAGATTTTGTGTATTGTATATACCTGCAAGGTATATGTGACAATATCGGCCTTTTCTAGATCACCAGGGTAACAATCAGCGTCCGTAGCAGTTATCAGGCCGCCATCTAGTGAGGTACCAGGTAGGTGACTCTTAAATAATATCAAAACAATGACAAGTTCATTAATATGTCAGCCGGCAGTTGGCTGGGTGAGAAAGCGTATCATTTACCGAACATACTATTGACAAGATTATTAACAGGTCAGCCGAGAGACACAAGTCAGAATCCAAACATATTTTAAGTCTAAGTAGCATTTGCGAATTCAACTGTCTGCCGTCGGCTGACGTTTAATCAGCTTATTTATTGCCAACTCATTGAAATATGAATATGAATAGTAGCAGGTGTTATTCAAATTTAAATGAGCCATCACATTACTATGTAGAAGTGACCAAATAGTCCATTTGTCATTTTCTTGACGTATGAATATTTAAAAACATGATGTTTTCTGTGCAAATACTATCATTAGGGTTTATTGGAGTGATTTAGCTGGGTTGCCAAAAAATTAACGTTGGGGAAAATGTTTGTATCTATCACCATGGTAACATACCAGGTACATGGTGGTATCCCGACGCTAAGTCAATAGTCAACGCCATGTTAAGCCAATGCACCCCTCCCTAATTAGCCGATATACTTTTTTCCCCAAACTAACTTTTTGTCCAACCCAGTTAAATCACTTCAGAAAACCATTCTTATTATAAATTAACCATAAAACATCGTGTTTTTAACAATTCATAGGTTCACTATAGTATGTATAGGGGTGACAAATGGACTAAAAATGAAAGTAGCCACATTGAACCATATTCACTCAATTTTGATGGTTATGCTTAATACCTACCTCACTAACTTCTAACTCATAAACTTCCTGTTGAAATACTGGTGGATTGTCATTTGTATGCTCCAAGGGAACTTCCAATGAAAACAAATACTGAAATTGAAATATAGCATTCGTTTGAAATATTATTGATAAATAAATGGAACAAAAATCACCACCGCTATCCCGTTGGCTCGCTCATTGACGAATTGTTAAGAAAAAGTAGTTATTCACCAGGAGGGATCTGATATGGGGAATATCACAAGGATGATATTAATATGATATTACCCATATCATCCCGACAGGTGAATAACGACCTTATACCATGCCATTGGTCAATATTTGCCTCAATGTTATAATGAACTTTATTTGGATGTTTATTCACTTGCACTGTAAAATTTGGGAAATAACTTATTGTAACGGTTTCATAAATTGATTGATGAGTACAAGTATTAATAACTCTGCCTACAATATCGTGACGTGACGTACATGTATATTAAATGTTCATTTGGCTAAAATGGCACAATACAACGCAATAAGTTACCTCTAAAGGCATAGATCCTTCGATTGCAATGATACATTTCCCACCTATTCGAAGCGAAGGTACACAAAGGTCCTGCAAGAAAGACAAAGGCATGTTCCTAAGTTCATATCATAGTATGGTTGGCTTACCCGCCCAAAGTATGCACGTATGGTTTGCCAACCTACCCTATGTATGCATGTGTTGTTTACGGGTGTGTAGGCGTTAATTACGCCCGTTAAGAAGTTAATTCTATACGCGTTAAAACAAATACAGCCGTAAACTAACGGCGTTAAAATGTTCAATAGCGGGCGTCAAGACATAATCTAACACCCGTTGAAAAACATCTATACGCCCGTCGAGTTTATTTTTAGCGCCGTAAATTATGAACCAATCAGCACCTTGCTTACATAATGATTCAATGCATCCTTGCTAAAAGAGCAACTCCAAGATCCCTGCGCAAGTAAATAACAATCAGAAGCCTGCTTACATTTTAGTGTGTTGCATTGAGGTCCTTAAATCTTCGTTCAAGATTGTTAGACGACTTAACCAAAGAAGTATTCAATTTTAAGAGCAAATTAAAAGGCAAATTGAAGAGACATGTACTGTGTTGGCAGTTATCAACACCCATTGTAGAAACGACAAAATTGCAAAATTGTATTCAATTGTTAGAGCAAATTAAAGGCAAATTGAAGATACTGTGTCGGCAGTTATCAACACCCATTGTCAGATCGCAAATGTATCCCTCTAAAGGATGTGTTCAGATACTAGAATTATGGTATCTGATCAACTGCATATTGACTCTAGACTATAGCTATATCCTTTTGAAAATATACTGAAAATGTCAGATGAGCCTATATACCCAGTATACCTAGCCAACATATGTTCAAATTTGGTATTAGGGAGATGTGTACTTTTTGAAATCTTTATGCAGTCCTCTTTAGAGTCACGTGTTATTTTCAGGAGTACATTAATATACGATCTTTCACATTTGCACAAATAGTGCACCAAGATTCCCAGAAAAGAAATAATGTTTCATATGCCAGCAATTGCAATAGTTGTTCCTGACACAATCGTGAGTATGTGCCAGACCATCCCTCTCCTAATATGGTAGCTATAACCATATAGACACGAAAACATTTATATTGTCATATCTAGATCACTTAAAAAGGTCGCGCTCAATTTTTAGTAGGCTGTCATATTTAACACAGGAAGTGATGTCATCGACTCTCAGCTTTGCACGAGGAGGATTGGAAGGTTCCAACTCGATATTCTTAAATCTCCAATCGATGCGGTAGTTTCCGATCTTGCATGTATATTTCTACGGCTGCAAGATATTCTGATATATGCCGATATTCTTGACTTGATTGAAATTTGTATTCATAACATGACTAGGTGATACCCATATATGGAACAGAATATCGATTGGCGTCCCTGGGATGAGCCAGTCCTCCTTGGCTTTGCATATATCATAAGGACTTATTAAGAATTACAAAACCAACAGAATATTATTTTTCAATTTTGTCTTTAACCCTGAAAATATTATTAAGTTGACAGTAGGACAACTTTTCTAGAAGTGATTTTGTGCTACTTTCCGATACTGTTATAGGTAAGTTAATAAGATTTGAAATTTTGATGCCTTGACAAGGAACCGTTAAGTTATTAGAGGAATTCACCTGAGAATGTATATGGACCTATATTAGTTCTGCAATGCGCATTTAGTTATGATACTATTAGTCTGTAATGCATTTAGTTATGAAACTATTAGTCTCTGATCTGATTTTTCTAAGAGCTCTAGAAGAGGAGTTGGTTATGCAGGTGTCTGCCACAAAAACCAACTACTGCATAGTATTCCTACATATACATGCTCTACACTAGCTATGTTACATTTTCCAGAAAAGGGGCTTTCACTTAAATAAATGAGGATTTGTGCCAGGATGTATTGATTCACATGGGGATATGATGATACCCCCATGTTAAGTCAATAGTGTACTATATATCTCCATGTTAAAGTGTCTTTCAAAGACTTAGAAGGAGAAAAGAAGAGGTGCGTTTATTGGCAAATACCCCTAAGGTTAAAATGAATAGTTCTCATATAACTCTTTGGCAAATATTAAAGTGCTCGGGCACACATAGACTGAGATATGGGCCATTTAGTTCAGTAAGGTTGTCCTGACTTACACAGGGCTGTGCATCATTGACTTAACATGAGGATATCAGCAGATCCCAATAGAGGCCATTGGTTTCCATTGATTATCACAAAAATACCCAAAATACACTATGCCCCGAGTCGATTGCAAATTTAATAATTTCACAATATGACAAAAATGTTTTATCTCATCAAATGTGTAAATATGAAGTTTGCAATCGTTTCGTAGTTTAAATTAAAAGATTGTACATTTTTCATCATTTTTTCCCTACAAAATGGCTCTAGAAAAATGCTACAAAAACAACTTTTACACAAATATCATACAAGTTTGTAAAACCAAAGATTATACTATCATATTTCATTATTTAGTAACATATTTGGATAAGATGTAGGGATGCGTAGGATGCAAATGGATTTTGATAAGCATTAATACTTCCTGGTTTGGAATCTATGCTTCTACACTTCAGGATTGAATTTTGACCCTAATAAGTGGCCTATACATCAATACAGTGCTGAATGTAGGTCAACAAGATACTAGTGTGCATATACAGATATACATGTAATAATAAAGGCAGTATACTCATTTTGAAATATCAGATGAATTTTTTTTTCATGGGGAGATCATAATGGAGAGCGCACTACTTACTTTGAGATTTCAAGCCATATGACTCAAAAAATAGTCTTGCCTTTCTAGTAGCATGAGTTCAGGTGCCAAAACAGCTGATCAAGGGATATACAGTATATCATTTTTTATTTTAAAATTTTTGTTAATCCCTGCATTTTACCACAGTTTTGACAAGACGTCATACCAAAATTGAAAACTGAATAAAACAACATTTATCCTAAATGGAGATCAAAATACTCGCTCAGACATGCATAATTTTATTAGGAGTAGTAATGTTGATCATTTTCAAGAAATTTAAGCATGTAAATAAGACTTTTTTCCAAAAGCAAAATGTTCCAAAAGATCTGGGTTCAAATCCCACCGGTGGAATATGTTTTTATTCTTTATTTTTTGTTTTCTTTCATTGTGATCAACAATATGAATTTTATATATGGCACTTAAACCATATTGAGTAATTCCAAAGGTTTTAATTTTTAGATGAAACCATTGAAAGTTACTTTAAGTCAATACATCCTTGCCCAAAACATCATTTTGAAGTGAAAACACCTGTTGTCCGATAAACGAAACATAGTCAAGTGTAGAGCATGTATGGAGGAACACTATGCAGTAGTGGGTTATAGTGGGTTATAGTGGTATGTACCTGGACAACCAACTCCTTATCTAAGGCTCTTGGAAAAATCAGCTCACTGACTATATCTTATCTTACGGCTAAATCATCCACCGATTTAGTGAGGGTTAGCTCATATGTAACTTGATTGTAGGAAAAGTATGCGACACCTTCTCCCTGTAGTTCAATAGCGACATCATAGTTTATTCCTCGAACTCTCTCAGGGGCTTTAAACCGCTTCACCACGTGGCCTTTAGTGCAGAATACATTTTGACATATTTTGGTCATTATATGAATTTTCTACTGTATTTTGTACTGAATATTTTGAAACTATAAAGCAATATCTAAGATTTTCTGAATACATAATTTGAACTAACGGCCTACTCTTAAAAGTAGAATCGTATATTCGTATATCGGCATTCCTATGGTCGGATAGTTTAGATTGTGAACGACAATGAGCAAATTAAAACCACAGGATATAATTCTATAATTCAGTTGTATGAGAGAAACATACCCACTGGAGAATTTTCTTTTATAGATGGAAGTTTAAGTTGTGTGTGTCCCGTAAAATCCCCTCCGTTGAATTGTAAACATGCTGCAAATATAATGGTTAGTGTACTGCGAAACACCAATGTTATCCATGCCTGTATTGAATAAATGTTTCAAGAATATTTAATTTTACTGCAAAAGGTAGTGCCATCCATGCCTGCACTGTGAACATGCTATAAACTATCAAAAACCTTATTGTACCACAAAATAGCAAAGATATCAATGGTTGTGGCATGTGGTAAATACAGGCACATAGCCAGGAGGGTTCTTTCCAAAATAGCAATGCTATTTGGTTGTATTGTATGTACGCTGTAAAATATCTGTTTTGCTCTAAAAATAACAATGGTGTCCATGGTGTGTCTGCATTGTAAGCATGCTTTAAAATATCATGGGTTTTACTGTACCACATTATGTTTTATTATACAACAAAATAGTGATGCTCCCCACGACTGTATTTTGTAAACATGCTATAAAATATACGTTTTAGTTTAAGTAAACGTTTAACTGTATTACAAAATATCAATGCTATCCATGGCTTTATTGTAAACATGCTGCTACCACTTTTACTGTTCTGCAAAATAACAATCCATAGTTGCACTGTAAACATGTTGTAGAATATCAATATCAATCAATATCAATTTTTTGTACTGAATAATAGCGATGCTATCCGCGGTTGTATTGTTAACATGCTGTAATCAGTTCTATTGTACTGCAAAATAGTAGTGCTTTGTATGCTATACTGTAAAAATTCTAAGAACTGTCAAATACATTGTACAATTCAAAACAATAGCAATACTATCTATTGGTATACAAGGTGTCTCAAAAAATGTACCCAAAAGTATATCAACAGCACAGATAAACCCATCAATATTTTCAGACATTTTTTGCCTGGTCATGTTGCCAAAACATGAAAGTGTTCTCCCCAATACTGTACACCATTCAGGCCCGTAGCCAGGATTTGCCAAAGGGGGGTTCAATTTTCAAAGATTTCCAGGGGGGGTTCACATTTGACAATTTTGGCCCAAATTTGGCTAATATCACTTGAGAAGTGCTCAAAATGGTCAAAAACTGCATGATTTTGAAAGAATTTTTGGCCAGGGGGGGGGGGTTCGCCTGAACCCTGCGAACCCCCCCCCCCTGGCTACGGGCATGCCATTTTTATTCCAGTCTTGCCTTTTTTATGCTTTTAAACTCTTTTTGATACTTTTTACACCACAGATTCAATGTAACCTCATATTTTGTTGACAGCCTGTAAGTAGAGTATCCTTACTGCTACATTGTTCATTACATTTGATGATAATTCTGGTGGAATGTTTTAGATTTCTCTTTGGATTCTAGGTCTTTTTGCTTGGAATGAGCATTATATAGAACACTCCTTCAAATAGCCACAGAGAAAGATGTTTGAGGATGACGATGGCAGAACAAACACAGAGAATCAGGTCAATTAACGGCAAATAATAGGGATTCATATGTCATGAAAATAGAAAGGACAATGCAACGGAATTCATGAAAGACAATGGAGGAATAGAGTAAGAACTGCTGGTGACTGCAGTTGCAGATTCAAGTTACAATTGGAATTGTGTAGTAGATCATTAACTCATTTATATAGGACAAACGAAACGTACATGTGACACAACCTACAAATGCACACAACTTGTCTGTAACTTGTGTGGCATTCATTATGCTAGTTGTTTTTGACTTCTTGTTCAATCGCATACCATAATGGCATTAGTTGACTGAAATTAATTGAGCTTCTGAAATAGGCCTTCATTTGATTTCCACATCATTCTAGCCTCGACACTCATTTATGAATGTCACGGAAAACAAATGGGTATCCCATTATAATAAATGTTAATGATGGCCAAACTCCAATAAAATGAAGGTACCCTGTTGTATAGTATTATGAATTACATTTATGTACATACATCGTTTCTTGGTACCCCATGGTGCTCTTGGACTAACGTGGCTTGAGCAATCCAACAAATCAAGAATTATATAGGAAGGTTCACGTTGTGGAACACGGTATCAAATTGATTGCCATGGTGCTACTCGGGTGCATACCAAAAATTCAAGTTGCCCTCCGTTGCATTACTTTAATAATAGCCTGACGTAGTATAAGTACCCAAACCATGGTATAAGTATTTGCTTATTAAGAAACAATTATCCGGATGGAATCTCTATTATAGAAGAGTTAATCACCATCGTAATACAATTACGTGAACCGCATGTACTGGTATGCTCATAAATGGATATTCATTTAATTCCAGCAAATACACCATTACTATCATTGGATAACACACAGACGGCGACTTTTAAAAGACCATAAAATGCTGAATGACCAATATCAAAATAAGAAATACTGGTTTTTGATTAAGAAATTCTAAAACGAGCGCCAATTAGCAATGAGGAAAAAGTTTTCCAAACTTTGGGAGGGGAGTGTGTGGTGTTCTTATTGTAAAATCCCATTATGAAAATGCTCTAGGAAGATTATTATATTGCCATAAAGGTCAGGAAATGCGACAAAAGGATAGAAATTCTCAAATACATACCTTGCATTTGAGCTTCTGACATGCCTGATGATATATAGATGAAAAGTATAAAGATCCACATATTTATGATATTGTTATGCTCCTGTGACATTAAACTATATAAAGGCAATATCTATATCTGAAACAATTGTAGCATATTCTTTCTTGTTAAATATCGGCTGACAGTTGTTTTGTACGTTTAGTTCATGTACAATACAGGTACAACGTAGGCTGAATGAAGCCCAAGGCAGTTCGTGAATTACTCGGTGTCAATGATGGAGTGATCTGTGTATGATTCACTGTAAATGCAAAAGTTTATGTCAAAAGAACTCAACAATACATGTATATATTATAGTAATCAAATTATTGGACATAATTATTGTTTCCTATATAAATACAAACATACATATGAAATGATGAACAACTACATAATATACAATAGCAAGGTGGATGCATCCGGAATCAATCCACCTTTCAACAAAACTAAATCCCAATGCAGAAAAAAAATCGAATGGACACAACTGTTGTCCCTTTAGTATCCACTATAAGTATTCATCTGTATGTATGTATCCTAGTCACCTCGAACAAAATATTATAAGAAATAAGTGATCCCCGAAAATGTTATAGGTGACTTAAAACATGAAGTTCATGTTCAAATGTTTTAAATGTCTCCGGTCTCCTAAACTATTTCTTGTTAGACTATTTATCTTTTCTTTTTTTGATTGTTTTCAATTTTTTTCGTGTATTATTACTTTAGTAAGAAAGTATTGATATTTTGAACCATGATGAATTGATGATGTTTTCTGAATGGCGGGGAGTGGGTGTTTGACACAGACCATTTCTTTATAACTTAGATCATAGTTTTAGGATACTGGGGGTTTGTTCCCTTATGACTGTTTGTACAGCCTCTTCTCATTTTCTGTGTTGAAATATTGAATTGAAAATTTCAGAAAAGGCTCTGCAATTCGTGCAGTCTTCTTCCCGATAAAAAAGTAATTTCTAGAGCAAAAGGTGAGAACCTTTGTGGTGCTAGACAGATTAATTTTCTGAGATAATCTAAAAAAGAAAAAGGCATGTTTTTGGTGTTCCGGGTAATCCACATGAACACTTTGGGGTGTTTAAAATGTCTTAAAATTGTGTGCATAGTTGCACCTTAAAAGTCGGATCTACTCTGAATCTGTTCACTTCTAAATTCCCGGTTAGCTTTAACTTAATTGTAGGGTCAGTTAATGAAAACACAGAATGAAATCCTGTGCTAAGGATTGAGGTACCCTTTAGAATCTTTGACTTTTTCAGTTTATCCCACCCATTCACTGACAATCTAACTTTTGCCTTATGGTTTTTCATTTTGAATTTTCAGAGGTTCAAAAATAAAGCTTTTCAAAAATTCAAAAATTCTACTTTCATGTTGCTGTTTAGCTTCATTGGTAAGATATGTTACTAGTTCATTGAGTGGAGTTGGATTCTTTTGATAACCTTTATGATCGCTTTTATGAGATTTATTCAAAAAATTGTATCTGGACTTCATCACGCAGCATATGAGATGCCATTGGTAGTTCTATAGCTTGTTTACTGATATCCATATTTTAAACAAGCTCGTTGAAAATATTTGGAGATAAAACAAGCCGTTTACATACATGACCTTCTTGAGAAAGAATTCTACTGTGCATTGAAATCAAAATTGTCAGCATAGTATTCAATAAATATGAATCTAATGATTCCCGTTGACACCAACGTGAAACACAAAATACTGAAGCTAAATGAGTATACTATTGAAGTCCACAAAAATATGATTGGCTTACCCACCCAATGTATGCACGCGTTGTTTACGGGTGGTTAGGCTTTAATTACGCTCGTGCAGATGTAAAATTACGCCAGTACAGACGTAAAATTACACCTGTGTAGGTGTAAGTTACGCCCATGAATAAGTTAATTCTACGGACGTTCAAACAACATTTACGGGCATAAACTTACGGCGTTAAAATGATTTATTACGAGCGTTACCCGCCCAATGTATGCACGCATTGTTTACGGGTGTGTAGGCATTAATTACGCTCGTGCAGATGTAAAATTACGCCCTACCAACGTAAAATTACGGCCGTGTAGGCGTAAATTACGCCCGTGAAGAAGTAGATTCTATGGGCTTTCAAACAACATTTACGGGTGTAAACTTACAGCATCAAGATTACGGGCGTTAAGACGTTATTTTACACGCGTTCAGAAACATCTTCACGCCTCTTCATGATTTTCTCGTATAATTCTCTAGAATTATTAAGAAACTAGAAATGTACTAAAAATGTCAGATGAGCCTATATAGTATACCTAGCCAACATATGTTCGTATTACTTTTTGGAATCTCTATGCAGTCCTCATTAGAGTCACATGTTATTTTCAAGAATACATAACTCCTTTATACAATGTACGTCTTTCACATCTGCACAAATTGTGCACCAAGATACCCAGAAAAGAAACAATGTTTCATATATGCCATCAATTGCAATAGTTGTTCCTGGCACAATCGTGAGTATGTTATTAACTTGCACAAGGATCTTGGATTAGCACTTTTAGCTAGAATGCATTGTATCATTATGTAAGCAAGATGCTGATTGGTTCATAATTTACGGCGCTAAAATAAACTCGACGGGCGTATAGATGTTTCTCAACGCGTGTTAAATAATGTCTTAACGCCTGCTATTGAACAGATTAACGCCGTTAGTTTACGCCTGTATTTGCTTTAATGCGAATAGAATTCACTTCTTAACGGGCGTAATTAACGACTACACGGGCGTAAATTACGTCTGCACGAGCGTAATTAACGCCTACACACCCGTAAACAACGCGTGCATACAGTAGGTAGGCTGGCAAACCATACGTTGAGAAACTACGGGCGTATTTTAACGTCTGCGCGTACCATATGCGCGGGGGTAATTAACGCCAACACACCCGTAAACAACGCGTGCATACAGTGGGTAGGTTGGCAAACCATACAAAAAAGTGTGCGCACGTCGTTTTTTGAACCGATTAATAATACCATGAACATCTCGATGCTCTCAAATAATATAAGAGGAGGAAAGATCCCAGAATCTAAAGATTCGACTCTACCTTCATATAAAGATGGCCCTCTTTCATTCCTGGTCATTTTAATGAGAGGAACATGTTGCATAGGAGCACTCCGTAACAGTGCTAGTCGATGTATCCATCCTGAGACAGTGCCCGGCCCCGGGAATACGGCGCACGCGTCTTGGACAAAATGTTATTAGTTACAAGGAACTCTTTTATAAGAAATCCTGGTTTTAAAATTCCCGAAAATAACCAGAACGATTCGAATAATGAACCAGTCGCTTTTGCAACGGCGGATTTAAATAGCGACATACCTGGATCTTGAGGGAGCAGCTTATGTCTGGTTGATCCTGCCAGCAGAGCATGAGTTTAATGAAATTGTGCCTAAATTCATCTTCCTCAATGACAAATATTTGGTTGAAAATGAAAACGAACTCCATTATCATCGACATCACAAAAGACATCTACAATGGCTTCGTTTTGCATGACTAGTAACGCCGTCAGTGGTCATATTTTGCATGTCAGTTTTAATCCCATAATCCAGTGCAGTATACGTCAAAGTATTGCGATTGTATTTCGAACGTTTGTTATGTAGAGGAAGGGTCGCTGAAATAAGTGTGGTAGGAATTTACCTTCTTCCAAGGCCACTATATCGTGGCCTTCGCCCAAAGATAAATCCCTGTGATACGACGTCAGATACTGTACATCGCGGCATTTTACTGCATTTTTAATGCGTACTTACTTTTAAAACCGCAATATCTCGACAGCAAAATCATAATTTTCTACAATTTTTCGTCATCAGTTGGACACGTATGTCCATGATATATTTTCCCTATCAGAATTCCAAATAACTGATTTGGGACTTTTTAAATGAAAATCACGCAAGCCGTATAATGCGACTTTCTATGCTAAAACCTGGTGTCGACTGTAACATTTTGAAGAAAAATGATTTTAATTTTAAACGAAAAATGAAGATAACTTTTTCATTTCCCAACGGATCTTTCTCAAATTTTCACAATATTTAAATTCACCATTTTGGAAAAGATTCTGTGTGATGACGTCATATAATAACAATGCTAACTTAACGCTTATATTTATGGAAAAAAAGTGTCGACAGGCAGAATTTCGTACCAACAAGATATATATTTTGATCAATTAAACATTAAATCGTTTGAAAGGTGAATTCTTCTTTTTTGATTCCTGAAAGGCATATCATATTCTATATTTTTATCAAAAAACTATATCATTTCGATTAAAATTCAGTCTGTAAGAAGTATAAATTGAAAGAAATATGAAGTGAAGCCATGTGAAAAATTCACAAAATTACGTTTCATTTTTTGAGTTCAAATATTTCTTATTAAGGGATAAACATTCAAAACTTTCCAATGTTTCAGCATGTTCTTTTAAATATACCCCTTACTACATACAATTAATTTCATTTAATTTGAACCAGTATATATTGAGATAGACATCGTTTTATCACCGCAACCCCAAGTGAAGCCTTTACAAAATAAGACGTTACGCCGTTAGCGTATTATATGTTCTCCTTTATTATTCATTGCTTTAAATAAATAAAACTAAATATTCGAGTTAAAATAAATTACAAATAATACATTTAACAATCTTTAATATCTTCCCGTCTGTGTTTATCAGTTGAATATGACAAGGGGCATTGTGAAAGCGTCTAGAAAGACCGGTGCGACAACGAGAGCGCAGGGCCGAAAAGCGCGACAAAGAAGAAAACGGGTAGGGTTTGAAATGTCTACTTTCTGGTGATTCTAATTCTGTATATCGTGACACAACCTTTTTGAATATAGAATTGTATTGAAGCGCACATTAATCTGAACAAAACTTGAAGTTTTTAAGAAGATTCCACGAATATTAAAACGTTTGCAATTACTTGGAGGAGCATTGCGCATATTTATCGCGTAAATCTTTGCATTTTGTCGGTAAAATGAACAATTACACTGTTACGCCGTGATGTACAGTATCTGACGTCGTATCTGTACGTTTTTTACGTACTCTGCTGGATGTGAGTCACGTCGCCTGTATATACGGGTCATGTCGTAATCATAAAATTTGAAATCAAAAGTTCGCCATTTTTCCACATCACAATTTGAATTGCAAGTTTTGGTCTTATTACCTCACC